CGGCTTTCGCGCGGCTTCGCGCGCCCGCGCTTCGCGCGCCCGCGCTTCGCGCGCGCGCGCGCTTCGCGCCGGCTAGTTCCGTCCCCAGGGCGGATCATTCTGGCAGTGGAGGAGCATGTACATATATATATATATATACAAACCCGTGTGATTTCTATGTCTCACTGAGATGTCTTTGGAAATGATTCCACTCGAAGTCGTGGATCATTTGGCGGGGTGAAAGAAATTTAGCCCCTGCTGAAATCACTTTTGCACTCACGATTTGTTTTGCATGCTTTGTGCATTTTATTGCACTTAGTTTCGATTGCTCCTCACTGCTCATGTGCGTGTCATGACTTGTGGATCTGAAGGCGAATTGAATCAGGAGAAAACTTTCAGTTTCGCTAGAGTGTCTGCGCATGGCTTGAGGAACTTGGGCTATTCCGTGGCCATTGTGCTAAAGACCCCCACAGCTAGTGGGGGGGCAAATTTTGAGTGCCCACCCACCCACCCTGAAAATCAGCTAGCCGGAGGCTAGAGTTTTTCTCCTGGCTAAAGCGGGACTTTCGCCACAATGCTAAAAAGGTGAGAGTTTGTGTTGTCCGTGCTACTGCTGGTAGTCTGTGAACCAAAGCTAGGCTTTGCTACGTACTTCTTGGAGTTGTAGAGGGAGGTGGCGGGAGGATACCCTAGCTAGTGTATCTCATGTCTTTCTTTCTCTCTCACTCACTCCCTCCCTCCCTCCCTCCCTCCCTCCCTCCCTCGCGCGCTCGCTCACTCGCTCGCTCGCTCGCTCGCTCGCTCACTCACTCACTCACTCACTCACTCATGCACTCACTCACTCTCTCTCTCACTCTCGCTCTCGCTCTCTCGCTCTCGCGCTCTCGCGCTCTCTCTCTCTCTCGCTCTCTCGCTCTCTCGCTCTCTCGCTCTCTCGCTCTCTCGCTCTCTCGCTCTCTCGCTCTCTCGCTCTTCTCGCTCTCTCGCTCTCTCGCTCTCTCGCTCTCTCGCTCTCTCGCTCTCTCGCTCTCTCGCTCTCTCGCTCTCTCGCTCTCTCGCTCTCTCGCTCTCTCGCTCTCTCGCTCTTTCGCTCTCTCGCTGTCTCGCTCTCTCGCTCTCTCGCTCGCTCTCTCTCTCTCTCTATCTCTCTCTTCTCGCTCGCTTTCTCTGAGTTCTCTTCTCTCTCTCTCGCATCGCTCGCTTTCCTCTCTCTCTCTCTCGCTCCGCTCTCTCTCTTTCTTTTTTTTGTTTTCTTTATTTTTTTTTTTTTTTGTTTTTTATTTTTCGCTCGCTCGCTCGCTCGCCCGCTCTCGCTCGCTCGCTCTCGCTCTCTCTCTCTCTCTCTCTCTCTCTCTCTCTCTCTCTCTCTCTCTTTCTTCACTGACACTCCATGCTGCCGAGCCGCCTTTCTGAACGCATCAGTTCTAAGTCTTACAACCCGCGATCAACATGGGTTCATCCGTCTGTCCTACGATAAAAGGCAATTCGCTATGAGCCTGCGATCAATGGTTGTGAATGTACAGAGTCATAGGTACGATCACGCCACAAGAGTCGACCCACGTCTATATTTTGCTGTAAACTTTGAAAGAACTGAAAAGAGGCGTGGTTCAGTGTACGACCAGAGTCTGGTTGAGACTCCACAACTCCGCTTTGTTCACGTGTGAGCTTGCGTCGAGGGGGGGTGATTTGCCACCGATTTGCGTGCACGTACACCTTGTGTGCTTGTTAGGTTTCATGCCAACTTTGTTTCACACTCGCAGCTTGACTGCTTAAGACTTGGTTCGCTAAGGTCCAGGAAAAGACCGTGCTCGCTTAGTGGGGTTAGTATCTGTCTTGTGCATGTGTAGTCAACCTAACGGCTCCAAGCTTTGATCGATCTTCGTGCCGGTTGCTTCTGCTCTTGCATTGCTTCGATCTACCATTGGCTGCCCATTGCTGTGTGACCGCAGTCAAATGGACTTTTCGCACTTGCGAATGCCTCGAAAATGCATCCGTGCTGTCAAGCTCCTTCATGTGATGTCGGAATCCCGCCGCCGTTGTAGAGGTTTAACAGGAACTTCGGGCAAATCGAGTGTTTGCTCCCGCCCTAGTGCCAAGCGTGTCCCCCGGCGATTCGTGCCTGCGCACCCGAGAATCGTGCTCAGCCGTGCGCGTTTTTTGGCCAGCTGGTGTTCTTTAAGTTTAAGCAATGCGATGCTTGCTCTGGCTGCAAACTAGGGCCCATGCAATGGTGTTGGAAGCCTCAGGGGGGCTAGGGCTGGGGCAGCCAGGTGTGGCTTCACTCGACATTAGGAGGTGCGAGTTGGTTGGCCATCGGTCATGCAGGTATCGGGATTATTATGCACTGAAACTGGCGCTTGATTGCAAGGCCAGGTATGCAAGCTTTGCCACTTCGACCAAGACCAAGATCTATCCTTTGCTGCCCACTTGTGCCATCCCACCCACCGTGAAGTTTACAGCAAGGGCAGCATCTGCACAGTCGTTCTGTTTCCGATCATTGTGCCGGGCTCCTGCATATATGTCCCCGCCAGGCTGAGGAATATCGAGAGATGGCTCGAGAACAAGAAGCAGCAGGCTTCGCGCCCCGAAGCCTCAAGCTGATGTTCCCGTCGCTGCTCAGAACCTTTCAAACCCGAGTTGTCAAAAACCCATCATCTCCTAAAGCATTGCATTTCGCATGCCCTAATTTTCATCTCAAAGACGCTAGAACCCGCCAATTTTGAGCCGCCCCTCGTGCCCACGGTCTCGCTTTTTTCTGCTTAAGAAGGCAAGGGACTTGGGCCCACAAATATTTTCATCTCAAGCAATAATGACAACCACAAAGATCACCGACGTTGCGTCTACTCCAAGGTCGAAGTCTGCAGAGAGAGCGGTGCAAGCCATGACGTTTGTTTTATCCAGTTTGTTATTTTCCGGTTGTAAGTAAAGTGTTTTTGTTCCTGATTTGGAGCTAGTCAGTCGGGGATTTCCTGCCTGTTGGGGCTCGTTTCTTGTTTGCGGCAGTTATTGTGTGTCCACTTGACCGGTTTGACTGTATTTCGATGACTGCCTGTGTCGATGGCTTCCGACAGTCTGCACTCCAAGTCCGACATATCACAGCAGCTTGAAACCCAAGCATCGGAAGCTGTCACCTTGAGTCACAGAGCGCAAATCATTATTGAATTCTTTTGCTTTCCTGAACCTCAGCCCCGCAGATGCACAGCCGAAGTTGGATCTCACATGGCTCCGGCACAGGTCAAGGTGCAGTGTGTCATGAAGGGCCGTACCAGGATGTTCGAGGGCCAAGCCAGGCCAGCCTGCTGGAATTCGTGTTCAGCCCCGTTCGAATACGGGTGGGCTGCATGAGCTGCGCTGTCTTCTCGGTCAGAAATCAGTCTTCTTCACTGAGCCCGAGCCAACAGTGACACTCACACGAGCATCTCCGTTGAAACGGTGATGACGACGACGATGATGACGAGGGTCCGGATGATGGTGCCGTCGCTACTGGAGATATGCCAAGCATCCGGAGTGAATGCTGATGATGCTTATGGTGGTTGTGGTGGTTGTGGGTACTTTTCTTTGCCGGCGGCTGGGGAAGGAGCGTTGCGTGTTTGGCATGATAGGGGGTTGCCAGCCTTGCTGCTTTCTTTGATCAAGTGACCTTGCTGTGGTTTGTGTCTGTGCATCTGGGCATATGTTGTGCCCCACCCTCTGCCACCCTACAGCGCATCATGAGCGAGTCATACAAGTGCGCCCATGCTGGGTTGACATGGCAGACTACAAGACATAGTTGTCTTGTACTTGTTGTTGCGGATGTTACTGCTGCTTTGTTTGGGCATATGCTTTGCCCATGTTACAGTTTTGATCCCACACCGCAAGGGAATTGTGCGACTGCTTATTTCACTTGATGTTTATGGTGGCTGGCATTTTCTACTGCGCCGCGTGTTCTAAAGTGTTCTGCCAGAAAAGCTAGTCTCTACAGGCAAGACCAAAGACAGTGTGCAAAGGAATCCGATAGGGAGGCGGAAGAGTGCTAGTTGCGTGGCAGTAGTAGTAGTAGTCGTCGTCGTCGTCGTCCCAGCATTCGTGGCGTCGAGAACGTGCCTAGGATCTTGTTGCCGATGGCTCTGCTGTGCTAGGGAGCTTATGGAACGAGTCCGTCGCGAGGTGGGCAGCTTGCAACAGCTTGTCTCACCAGCGCTTTCTCAATGTTAAGCCTGAAGCTCTCACGCCCTCGGAGTGTTTTTTTCAAGGGCCTCAGGTTTGGCCCTGACCCTTGGGTATTCTTGCAGTACTGAGACAGAACTTGGGCGGCAGGTTCAGGCGGACCGTTACAGACAATACATGCATGTGCTGCGCGTGGAGCTGTACTTTGCTGCACAGTGGAGCAGAAAGCAACTTCACCGCACCTCTAGGGCCATACTTCCTCTTTTAGCTGTCTACACGTCTACACGAGAGCCGAGAGCAAAGAAGCCGGCCAAAAAGGTAGCCCACTTCGCCAAAGTTGCCGGTGCGGACGGGCACGGGCAGATTTGCCTCCAAGTGGGGAAGTTGCGGGCTCGGGCAGAGGGCAATGAGACTTAAAGGCATCTGACCCGACAGTTCGTCTGTCCTGATCTCTGAGTCAAAAGACGCTCGAGTTGCAAGCCTCGCCAGGACAAGGGCAATCCCACCGTCACCAAAGACGGCCGAGGCTCTGAAGTGGAGGGCAGCATTGCAACGCAAGTAGCCGACCCACGAACCCTACTCAGACTCTCAAGCTGTTGGATGGGGTGTACAGCTCCACCTTGCAGTTGTAGAGTCCGGCGATGTAGGAGCATGTGTGTTTGCCCAGCTGCCCAGCTGCTTGCAGGCGCTTCTTGTTTTGTTTTCTTGTTGATGTCGTTGAAACTTACTAATCATGAGATAGTGTCCGGGCAAGCGGGCTAGTGAGACGAGTTACGTTCTCTGGGGCGGAGGCTCCGATGACGAGTCCGAATCACAAAGGGCACTGATTCTGTCAACCCTTGAGTCTGAGAGCAACGATGCCAGAGCCCTGCACCCTGCGACTCGAAGCATACCTTAGGAGATCAGCCGGTTGGAACCATCCGGTCCCAAACCAGACATGCCGTGGAGGCGACCTTATCATGATGCTGAACGCCGGTCACAGACTTGGGGCTTTCGGGGCTTCGGTTGAGTTTCATTGCAGAGATGGGGATGCAGGCTGTGAGATCGGTCATTGGTGAAAGTTTTCAAGAAGATGTGCAGAAACTCCAAAGATCTCCAAAGAGAGTGCGCAGTTCTGAGATCCAAGGTCCTGACACGGCGATACTAAAGCAGCTGGTGGAGGCCCCTAGCTACGAGTTCCAAGTATTGCAAAAGTTGGGGGGCGATTGGACGTCTTTTTAGAGTTCAGATGTAAAATAGCCTGAAAGCTCCCGAGAAAGGTCGAAGGAGTGCATCCTGTGCTCCTGGGAGTTTGTTGTGCCTAGGCCTCTCGCGAGGGAAGGACTGTAAGTCCAGCATCCAGAGCCCTTGACTCCGATCTCGGAAAGCCTGAGGAAGCCGGTGGAAAGAAGGCAGGATCCGATCTGGTGGTTCGAGCGTTCGTGCAGGGCGGATGCGAGTGTCGCTTTCAGGGAGTTTGAGGTCCACAGACTTGTGCCGCTGCTTGATCAGAACTCAACCAAGGGATAACGGCGGTGGAAGGATTTCACGTCATTCAACTTGAGTGGAAAATTGCTGGCCGGTCATGCCGCCCTTTGAACGGGATGGAAGTAGACCGGACCTCTGGCAAACAGAAGCCTACATGGTTTCTCTGCATGACCAGTCTCCGCATTTTGCGAGGCTTTGAAACGTCAAGCTGAGGAGGACGAGGACGAGGACGAGGCACAACAATGCCCCATGAAAGCAACTTGCATCGTGCGGTTGGCGGCAATGAGATACCTTTGTTTCCGAAACCCTTAAGCTATAATCTGAATACCCCAAGCCTGACATTCCTTCCGTCGGATCCGCCAAGGAGGAAGAAGAGGAAGAAGAGGAAGAAGCAGAGGAAGTGTTTTCATTAGAGAGGTTTCCTCCTGTGCACGGTTCTCGCGGTTGAGAACCAAATAACTCAACTCAAGCTAGAAGCATTTTGCGTTTAAGACAGTCAGAAGGATTCGCTCGACAGCGTTTCCCCCGAGTCTTACCTCGCCCACATGCGCCCGACCTCCTTCCGCGCGAGGTCCTAAACTCTGACAGCCTTCATCCCAGATCTTGTCTGGATCGGACTTTGGCAAACTACGCCCAACTCCAACAAGAGAAACCACTGAGGTCCGAAGCTCGTAAGACGCCCCCAAACTCAGCTGTCTCCAGGAGACGAGCGATGAGATCAAGGCTATCGAGGCAGAGATCAAGGACATGCGCGAGGCCGCTGTGACTACATTCAGGGCCGGCAGGGATCAGAGCTTCTGTGTTTGGCCTGGCCTGGCCTTTCTGTGATTCTGATTTCGAGTTGTGAGGGCGAATGCTGAAGTCCAAAACAGAATCATAAAGCCTCAGTAATTTCCTAATTGTCGCGATGTTTGCTTCTATCCAGCCTGAATGTGCAGCTGATACGAAGCCAAAACAACGTCTCAGGAGTTGATCGATTGCGGCATCAGCCCGGGTCAGGTAAACACAGAGCCGGAGATGCAGGAGCCGTCTGCACTCATTCGAGACGCTGTCGTTTTTTGAGTTCAGAGATGCGGACTTACTGGAGACAGAGCTCAGGGCTCAGGAGGGCCAGGGCTCAGATCCGGGGGTTATTTGTGTTACTGTGTTACTTTTTCACAGAGTTTACGTTGCGCAAGAAGTCCTTGAAACGCATATGCCAGTAAGGCCTAAATGCAGTCGGGGAATGCTTTCAGGTGCGAGCCACATGCATCCTCAAACCTGAAACACTAGCCCTGGGTGTGGGTCACTGTGCCTGAACCCTCGTTTCAGGACTTGTTCAAGCGACTGGATCAAGCCAAGGCTCCTTGGCTGCTTCTGTGTCCTTTCAGTGTTTGGAAAAGGTGATCTCTGACATAACTGGACGAATCTTCGGTGCTGGAGTGGTGCTAGGTTTTCTCTCTCGGATTGTCGAGCTGGGACCTGGAGAGCTTGGGAGCTGGTAGTAATGGGTAGGAGCACGTAGGAGCTACCTCAAGACGAGAGTGTGCCACCAAAAACAGTCCGAACCTCTTGTCCGAGAGCATCAAGCGGTTGGCAATCATGAAGCGTTCCCCGTGCGCTGCAGAGCAAGCTGGCTGCCGCAGCAATGGCCTCGTTGTCACCGCGAAGGTCTGAAGTTGGTCAGAATGTTGTTGAGAGACTTCGCTTCCCGTTCTGAGGATGCAACGGGGTGTTCTGGAGTCTGCAGGGTCTTGAAAGCCTCGTGATGAGAGTCCAACCTAGTACCTACTAGATACTTGGTCCTGCAACATGTACCTCAGATCAAATGGTGAAAAGGTTGGTTCCGGAAGAATATCAAGACGATTCCCGGATCAAAAGACTCCAAACAAAAACGCAGGATGCAGGGTTCAAGCAGGTGAGGTGCTTTGCCAATTGCAGAGTCATACAGAGTTAGTTTCAAAGGCTTTAGCCCTGGCAGTCGTAGGGCTGGGGCTGGGGCTGTTGATGCTTGCTAGTGACTGCCAGTGCTGCTGGTGCATCAAAGGTGGGAGCTCAACTACAACAACTCTCGGCGATAGAATCCAATCCAACTCGTGGAAAGCGATGCTGAAACCAGAATTTCCATTGTGATTCGTCGGGCGCGTGGTGTGTGTGCCTTGCTTTGTGCAGGCAGCAGGTGGCGTTCACGGCTTCAGCAAGGACCCAAGTCTTTGGGTTTTTCATGTAGAAGCAAGTCAGCGTCCTCAATCATTCCATTTTGAGCCTTGTGCCTGCATTGCCCTAAAGGTTTGGGTAAAGTGGTAGGAAGCAACGGTTGAGTGGGAGGATTCGGGGCTGGGGCTTGATGATGCCACCTTTCTGCCGGCTGGAGTTTCATGATACCAATAGTAGCATGATTTCTTGGGCAGGGTTTAGGGCTGAAGACCAAGACAGTATTGAGGCTAGGGCCCAGGGTTCAGACTGTGGTTCCGGGCGAAAGGGTGAATTGACGGGGGGCAAGGCTCGCAGCCCTTGCGCCATAAAGCTGTCGCGTTCTGGACCTGAAGCCTGAAGCTTTTCACCTGTACATTCCGTCCGCTGCCCGAGGCACATGCCCTCCTCAACTCCCCGACTCTTCGCCTCCGGTGCCAGTTGGGGTTCGGTTTTTGGGAGGCAATGTGAAGATACCTTTGTGCCTGCTTTCATGGGATTACAAGGTTCGGAGTTAGAGGCTGTGATTTGCGCCAAGAATGGGATTCAAAACGAAATCCTGACGGGCAATATTTGTGGGAGGTGCTTTAACGGTTTGGCTCGTTGAGAGCCTTCCGGCGGCTTCTGAGTTTGTAGTTTGTTGCCGCTATGTGTATCGAAGCGGTTTCTTTTCAATGTGTAGCGCAGGGCACCCGAAGTCCTAGATCAGTTTTCCCGCCTAAACCTGCTGGCTCTTCGGATGAAGACGGAAGCTCAGCGTCAACTCAAAGCCCTGACGCGCAGGTGACCTCCGAGTGAAGGATCTCCGTCCGTCTGAGCCGGTCGCGATCCCGTCCTGCCTCCCTTCCTGCGCCCTTCTGCATTGTTTGAGATATGGCAGGACGCGATGGAGTTTAGATTCTTGGGAAGGCGGTTCCCAAAAGAAGCTGCCGCCTTATGGCTGCAACAAATTTTCGCTGCTTGCTGCTCACTTGCTGCAGCCACAACCCGACCGACGGCCCCGTGACCCTTGGACCTAGAATACGGTGCTCAAGCCCATTCAGGCCCAACCCCTCTTCCTACGGGTTCGTTGTCTCAGAAGGATGCAAAGGCTGAAAGGTTTGGTGAGTACCATCGCGGCTTCATGACTTGTCCTGAAGATTCCTTACATCTGCGCTGGGTAAGTGGACATAAGCCTTTGTCAGTGGGGGCTACTAGCGCGTGTATCTGTAGGGTCTGGGCCGGCAGCCTTGAGGCTCAAGGCTCGAGATGCCCCTGGCCCGGAAATATCAGCTCGCAATTTTCGGTTTCACCTGCAACACCGTTTCAGCACGGCAGCACAAAAAGCGGATGGCAGCTGCGACCAGAGTAAGGATCCTGTGCCGAAGGAGGCGTGCCAGAAACACGATTGTTTACCTGCTACATCAGAAACTTCTGACCTGTGTCCCAGGCATGTGGCAGCTTCAGCATCAGTGTGCTTTGTGCAGGATGCGTGATTCACAGTCAATGGCCCTGCATCCAGGAGCTAGTCGATCTCGTGTTTGCCACGTGCAGATCTTCGTCGTTGTAAGAACCTTCGTGGAATGGGCTCTTGCCAGCATTGCTTGGAGCTACACCCCGGAGCTGCGAACATGACGCCTTCTGATACGATGCCAGTTCCTTCTCGTGGAGTTTGATGTCTGTCACATTGGTAACATCCACACCCGTTTCTCAAGTGTCGCAGCTCCAGCAGCAGAATCTCGGTGGCCGCGATGGCGCTTGCGCCGCTTGACTGTGCATTGGTAGTGTCTAGAGGGTCGCGCCCAAGGAATTTGATGAAATACCTGCAGCCTTCAGCTGTGAGTAGCATGCCTGATCGACCGAAGCTCTGGAAGGCTTGAATGTGTTGCCGTGGATCTTGAGTTGCCGAGACATGTCCCCTAGTGGTGCAATGGTAGGGTAGACTCGTCAAGGCCGAACTGATGTATAGGCCGTCATGAATTTAGATGATCGGCAGAAACCAGCACTACGAACGCACATGTCCGGTGGTTTGTGTATAAGACCGCGACCTTGAATTCGAAGCCATGGCCCTTTCTGCACGGTAATCCTCCAATCCAACCATGACGCATAGAGATCCCGGAGCTTACCATCAACCTCAGGAACTTGGTGTTCCACAAGTTATGAGCGCCCAATCCACCCCGGTGGTGCAGATGTAAGCGGTCAGGCGGCTGCAGTCCCGAACAACGGAGGAGTTGTTTCTGGTGGAGCCGGTGCAACTGCGGGTGGAGGACTGGCAGCAGTCCGGGAAGATTTGACGCCCCAAGCGAAAGCCAGAACGAGCCAAGAAGAAGGATTTCTTTAATGGTTGGCGGGTCAATGCACACATGGGGGACAATGTGGAGTAACTTCGGACTCCGACAAGTACCCGATTGCCACAGCTTACACGGTGAAGGCGCTCAAGGAGCTCACGGGTGTCAGTGACTTCACCTACTATGCGGTTAGAGAATGTCCACTTCCCCTACTACCGTGTGAACAAGGAGGTGGTGTTTGCCAGAGCCCGACGTCACGAATGAGTGGAGGCAACTACCGAAGGGGGCTTGGCGCAGGGGAACAAAGGGTGCTGGAGCTTCAACCAAGGGGTCCCAATCACCATAAATCCGGGGAGCGATGAGACGGTGCCTTGGGAGGGCAAGAGATTGGTTATGAGCGACTAGACACTCCAAGAACTTCCCGGATGAAGCAGCCTACCTACGACATGTTGATTGAGTGCGGGTTTAACCCCCCCACACCGCTGCCACCACAGGTCTCTGATCAGCTCCAACAGACTATCCCAAGATGATGAACGTTGCCGGGGACCCCAGCGATGTTCCTGGTGAGTGGGTCGGGAGAAGACCCGAGACATCAGCTAAGAGCTATATACAGCAACTACAGGATGATGTGTTGGGAAGACTACGAGAACGACGAGAGTGGCTCCGGGAATTCTTGGCCGAGGAGGAGATACTGGCGGAGAAGTTCAATACGGTTCAACAGACCGTTGGCGAGGAGATCAAGGGTGTCAACGACATCGTCCGGGATTTGATCAAGGATGTTGAGGACCAGGTCAAGGAGGTGAAAACAAAGTACCACGACCTCTACCTCAAGGTGGCCAACGTGACGGACTACAAGGAGATAGGTGGCATTGCGGAGTACTTGGCCAACCTAGGACCTGGATGTGATGTTGGATCTCCTTGTGGACGAGGTAAAGGCCAACCTGGATTCGTGGATTGATCCAATGAGCAGCGAGCTATCGAACCTGGAGATCAAGACGGACACCATTGAGCAGAAGCCGATGAATCAGGCCCGACAAATGGTCGAGGACGGCAAGCAAGTTGATCTTGATCCCGGGCAAGGTGGTTTTCACGGTGAAGCAACCGCCGCCGGTGGAGGACGAACCCAATAACCGGAAAGCTCCCCGCAAGAAACGCAAAGCCAGAGTCGTGATTTGCGGCAATCTAGCCGGTCAGTCTCACAATGCTCAGGAGATCCCAGGAGCTATACGGCACAGGTGCCCCTTGTAAAGGCCCTGCGCCTCGGGCCTGCTTTGGCGTCAGCCCGGGGGTGGGTGGCAGGTGCACACGAAGATCCCTTGAAAGGCGCTTGAAGGACGGATCTGGCTGCCGCCACCGATCACGAATGGGGAGCTGTGGATGTGCTCCTGCCCTGATCCTGCACTCCAAGATCTCTTCTATCTGGCCCTGATCGACATGGGCTTGACCCCAAGGAGACGGCAGGTTTGCCTTGCCCAGGGGAGTGGATCCAGGGCGAAGATCAGGAGGATGAGACCGAGACCTACAGCGAAAAAGAATTCACCAAGGCTCAGAAGGTCACCGGTGAGTGTCTATGGTTGGCATACAGAACGAGAGCAGATATCCTATTCGTCACGAACTACAGTGCGTCCATGGCTGCCAAGAAGCCTGTGAAGGTCTACCAAGTGGGCTTGAAAGTGACAGCCTGCCCCAGTGCGACTGTGGGCCTGAAGTTGAAGGTTGAAGCCACAGCAGAGCACACGCAGCCCAGCAGAGCCAACGCAGGCCACAGCAGAGCCAACGCAGCCCGCAGCTGCTGCTGGCAGAGCATTGACAACATGAGGTAGGTTTCAGGGTCGGTTCAAGCGGGGACAGTGAAGCATCGTTCGCGCCATATATGGTGGCAAGAGCTTCGGCTGCAGCCTGGTCATGTCAAGTGGGCCGTGCCCCCATATCCTGGAAGGCAAGTAAACAGCTGATGGTTGCGATGTCGGTTTGCGAAGCTGAGCTGATGGAGGTATCGACGTTGCCGTACTGTTGGAGTATACCCAAGCCATGCTACGAGAGGTTCTCCCAGACATTGGCATACCAAAGCTCTTCGTAGAAAACATGGCAGCCCACAATATCCTAAACGGAGCTTCTGGCAGCTGGCGGACCAGGTACTTGAGGATTCGACATTCCTATGTGCTGGATCGGGAGTCCATCAATGTTCTGAGGGTGAGCCACTTATCAGGAGAGGACCAGCCAGCGGACTTGCCGACCAATTTCCACGGCTGGGCTCACTTGCTGCATCTGCTTGTGGTTTTTGGAGTATGGTAGGGTGAGAAGGTTTGGATGGAACGCGTGTGCTTCAAGGCTTGAGACTTGGTTCTAGCTGTATCGGCTGAGAAGGAGCCCCTACCAATGACAGGTACGGACCTGTCAGCGCTTCTTTTGCTTCTGGCGCTCACATGTGTGGGGCCGGTGGCGGCTTGGGAGGCCGCGAAGGCTATCTGGAAATGGATGGTCCCGGTTCTCTTTGAGTCCAACAAGGCCAAAGGCTCAGGAAGCTCCGGGAACTTGCGCGGGTAGCAGTGGAGGCTATGCGTATGGATCTACGGTGGAGGCGAGTGTAACGCAGACGATCATTGAAGCTGTTCATTGTCCACCCCAATGGTGGCTGGCGTGGCAACACCGGAACCTTCATGGAGGGCATCAACACCTTCAGGATCGCCCGGATCCATGCGATCTAGTAGCCCACCTCCAGGGAGGACAAGTATCTTCAGATCGACGAGGCCGCCAACACCGCCTATTTGCGAGACGACAGGGCGGAGACGGCGTTGAGGAGCCCGAGACGGTGGTACATGATTGCCTCGGACTTCTCACGGTCCGAGGACTCAAAAAACGCCTCACCAACGAGGGCCTGATGGTGTCGGGAAGGAAGGCCGATTTGATTCGGCGCCTGGGCCCGAGAGTCGGACTAACTGAACCTCCGGCTGAGCATCGCCCGACAGCTAAGCAGTGGCGACAACAACGCTTGGCAGGGATGACAACCCTTTCAATGGTCGCATTTGGTGACGAAATCTTAGGTGTTGACATTGCATGAATGGAAGGATGCATAGTGCTCTAACACTCTAACCCGCAGGGACGAAAGCAAGGAGGAGTGATGAAATACCTGCAACGTTTAGCAGTGAGCAATATGCCTGATTCACCGAAGCCTTGAAGGTTTGCATGTTTGTGCGTAAGATCTTGAATTGCCGAAACATGTCCCCTAGTTGTACAATGGTAGGGAATACGAGTCAAGGCCGATTTGATGTAGGCCGTCATGAATTTAGATGATCGGCAGAAACCAGCACTACGAACGCACATGTCCGGTTTGTGTATAAGACCGCGACCTTGAATTCGAAGTCATGGCCCTGTCTGCACGGTAAGCCTCCAATCCAACCATGACGCATAGGGAACCCGGAGCTTGCCTTCCACCCGAGTAATTTGGTGTTCCACAGAATTCTTTCGGTACGTAACCTTGGGGCATCTAATCTGAGGCTGCTCTGCGTAAAACCTGAGCGCAGAGTGGCTTTCCGTCCTGCAGTGTCCAGAATTCCAGGACAGCTCTGGCTGCCATCTGCCCACAAGGCCGTCTCATGAACGTGTGTGGGGAAGTCTTAAATCTCAAGCCTGTTCCCCAGGTTGCATGTACTTGCGAGGCCCCGCACCGGATCAGTATGAGGACAACGCAGAGATGGCCACCTTGCACACCAGCGACGGCCGTGTCCTGCACCACCCTTGGTTCTGGGGTAGAGCATTTTACAACATCGCAGTCTTGGCTTGGTCCATGGCCTGCATTTCCGCAAGCCGTGCATCTTGCTTTTGGTCGTTCCGTCATGTGCCCATGTGGGTAATCATGTTGAGCTCCCGCAGATGATAACGCAAGTTTCGGAAGGAAGGCATAAAGTTTCTTTAGTGCCGTGTGACATGCCAGCAGATTAGTCTACAGGTTCGTCTCCCAGCAGCCCCGTACATCCGTAGGTCCTCAATCGGAGACGCCGTCCTGGCAAGGCCCGTGCTTGGCGGCTTGCTGCGAGCACGCTGCCCAAAGCTCCATGGAGACAGCGCGAAGGCCGCATCAGATTGCCACTGCCTCCTGGAAGTCGCATAAACCAGGGACTCCAAACTCTCGTGGGCCGTGCCGGAGTCCTTTGGGGTCATCTGGATCCGTTTTTTCGCACACGATAACTTCAGAGCCAAAACCTTTAGGAATGAAGACCAGCCAAAACGATGCGTCCAAGACGGTTGCGATGTGTTGAACCGTGCCCTGGTCCGAAAACCTCCTGAGTCGCTGCGGCGTAGCATGGAAGCCGGAAGCCACGAATCTGTTGGTCCACCCGCGAGGCATTTTATGCCAGCGAGGAGCCTGGGCCTCGGCAGTTCGAAAAAACTCGGCGAATGCCGGCAATCTTGGACGTCTTTGTTTGGCCTTTTTCTCTTTGCTTTGCAATGCACCCACCCACCCGCCCAACCCACGTCCGCATGCCCCCTCGCGAGTGGCGGAGACATTTTTGGGATGATAAAACGTGATCGGCTCACCACGTGCTTGCCTGAGCTTTGATGTCTGAGGATGAAGAGATTTCGAAGACCACCCCTATGTCAAAAAAATCATGGGTGTAGTGGCTAAACCTGAAGCCTCTTGAGCAACACGCGACTTGGTGAAAGTATATGTCGAGGAGACTGCAAGTAGAACAATTGTGAGACAACCCATGAATTTGTTCATCGACTGGGGGGTAAAGCAACGAAAATCAATTCCAGAACCTGAAGCCACAACAAACAGAAGTTTCGTGTGTAGGGTTCGTGCGGATCTGTGCCTTTTGTTTGCTGGGTCATGCCCTGTACCCTGTGTGTCGCCTGCTTTGTTTTTGTATCTCGCCCCATGCTTCATTATTATCATCATCTTCACCTCAACTGTTCCATCACTTCTCGCCTCCTCTTTCGTTGTGTCCTTTCCCTCATCCTGCTCATTGTCGTCTACTTCGATTTCTCCACTGGTTTCATTTTAAGTTTTGTTCATCCCGTGGTGTTTTCTTCATTATCTCGCCGCTTAGGCTTATTTGTTTCTTTATCCCTGCCACATGGACGACGACATCGCCATCTTCACTTGCTACGCCCGACTTGTATGAAAGAGCTTTGTCAGTTGAGCTTTCCAGCCGCCTAGTTTGCCTGCTCCGGTTGAGTGACTTGACGGCTTTGAAAGCCTATATCAACAAAACCAAAGCGACTTTTTGTTTTCAGCATCTTTGGTTCTGCAGTCCTGCTTCTTCAAAGCATGGCAGTAAACCCTCAGCCCTTTCAGTGGTTGGATCAGCCACTCTTTCAAAATAGCTTCGCACGAAAGGAGCCCTACACCCGAAACCTTAAAACCTTAAACCCTGAAAGAGGGGGTCACAGTTGACCCCCAAGGATGGCCTTCGCTCTTTTCAGGGTTTTTGTATCGATCTGCAGACGGTTCTACAACGGGTTCTACACGTGTTCTTGTAAAGGTTTTTTGTATGCAATTCTGTAAGGGTTTCGAGGGCACCAAGTAGCGTCCTTTAAGGCTTTATAGAGACTTGATCATGGTGTTTACAGGGTTTTGTTAGGTTTTTGGGCATTTAAAGGTCCAGGAAACTTACTAGGTAGGGTGATGACGATGCATGTAGCTATAGTGTAAATGACTTGTAATAGAACTCTAATCCCAGTTCTGATTGATCCCCCAGGTGGGTATTAAGGTTTAGGGTTGAGGAAGAGCAGAAGCAAAGAATGCCAGAGCAGTCTTAGACTCTTAGACCCTCTGTGTCTCTGTTTCTGTGTGTGTGTGTGTGTGAGCGTGGATGTGCGCGTGCGTGTGCGCTTGCGTGTCTTTGTGTGAGTGGTGCATGTGCACGAGTGGTGCGTGCGGCGTGTGCGGGCATTCGGGCGTGCGGCTGCTCATGGCGGGATATGGCGGGGTAACGGGCGATGCGGTGGCCGGGGAGTTTCTTTTTTTGGGGGTATGGCCCTGTACGACCTGTGCCTAGCCAGGGATAAGGGGTTTGGGACTAGGGGTGGGAATTTGGGCCTTAGGGTTTCGGGGTTTGAAGTTTGGGGTTGTGAGGCTTAGGGAGTTGAGGCGTTAGGGTTTTAGGGTTCTAGAGAACATGTGCTTGAACTCCTCAAGCCCAGGCTGATGGTGGTGTTGCCGCTGCTGCGGTGGGTCTACTCTGGCCGAGTTCAGGACAATTCTGGGGCCAAACGCCTGGAGTTCAGTCAAACAGGCCTCCTGGAAAGTGCGGCCTCATGCAAACTTGAAATGGCCCTTCATACGTTCTGATTGAGAATTGAAGTCTTCCGGAGCCCTTCAGCGAATGTAGCCGTCAGCGCAGGACTCCGGGATTTTGGCCTGTCATTCACTCCCGAAGCATCGGCTTTTCCTGTGAGCAGGACCAGCCGGTTTCCGCAGGTAGCGGCGATTGCGCCCTGTTTGCCCGCATGCTGCGGTTGGCTGAAGGCCGGTCTCGAAGTTCCCGGCAGACACATAAGCTTGGTCTTGGCCTTGGTGGGTATGTTCTTGAGTTTGCGGATGACATGCCGCTGCTCTCTCTCTCTCTCTCTCTCTCTCTCTCTCACCGTGCGCAACTGCCCGGAGGAGGAAGCACGAAGCTATGGTACGCATGGTATACGAGAGCAAGACCGAGTTCTCAAAATAGATAGTCGAGGTGAGTAGGTCAAGTCACGTTCAAATCTGGTGCAAAGGTCCCTTTAAGTGGACAAAGTGTGACCTGGGCTCCGTGATTTCTTTGGCGTGTTCATTCCATGAAGCATTCTACCATAGGGTGAGGTTAGCGGAATCAAGCTTTAGGAACCTGCCGCACTCCCGAGAACTCAACTAGTCCGGGTTGACCGGTCTGTTGCCCAGCATCTTTGTCCGGGCTGTTTTGTCCGCGTTGTCTGGGCTGCTGTTCGGGTTGTTGTCCTGGTGATTGTCCTGCTAATGTCCGGGTTGTCGGGCTGCTGTGCGGGTGGGTTGACCTTCTCAATGCCAAGGAGCACAAGATGACGTGCATAGCCGTAACGGCATATTGTTGTTAGTTGCTCAGCACTCAAGGATGCATCCTAGCCCAGGGATGCCTAGGGCCTAGGGTCGACGCAGAGTTAAGCCGATCCTGTGTTGGTTGCATACCTTGCGGCGGTTGTGTGTGGCATGGCATATGGCGCATCGGCAGTTGACGTTTCCTGCGCCCTGTGGCCCTGCGGCCCTGCGATACGAGTCGGTACATTGGAGGATGCCTCCAAGGTCCAAGAGTCCAAGAGCATTCAAAAGTTCCGGTCTTCGGCCTGGCCGGGCAATGGGCAAGCGACAAGGAAGTTCTTCTTACAGAACTGAAGACTTTGGCTGGCTCTGGCCTTTTGACCTGCGTTCTGCAGGTTGGGGGCTCCGGGACGCTGCGGAGCTGCAGGCTTTGGAGTTTAAGTCTCAAGGGTTTTTGGTATGATTACCGTGTCCTTCAGTATATTTAATTCACATGTTCAGCACATCGTTTGTTCGTTCTAATATAAATTCTCGGGTAGTGGTTTGCGTGCAGTTTTGATTTTGCCATGTTTGGGGGCGGTTGGGCCTCGCAATTGCCTCGTATATTCGCAGGACGTTCGGGCTCTGGAGATCATCTCAAACCCGAAACCTCAACCGCCACGCTGGGGTTTGGCAAGCCCACCTAAGCCGAAAGCCTGAAGACGAAGCACTGGAGCTCGACAGGATTTATTGCTGGCGAAACGCAGCCGACGGCGGCGCAGCTCTTTGGCGGAGGCCTGATTTGGAGCATGCGGAGGATTTGCTTTGCATAGTTGGGGGATAGGGCCGTGAGTTTGGGGTCTGCAGTTGTGCATCGGAGCCTTGGTATTGGTGATGCGCTACTCCGACTAATGCCTGCTATGATTTGAGTCATCTTCCGAACTGTCTTGTCAGTCTTGCACTTCCACCATCCGAATGACGATGCAATCGGGTCTAGTCACGGACACCGCCGCATTTGCGCCACTTGGACCATATCACGCTCGGAGAGCATGTCGCAACTTCCGTACGATTTAAGTTGCGGTTTACAGGATCGTCGTCGCATGGCAAGCAAGCGCTGCAGACAACACCTTGGGTTGGGGTTTCGGATGGCTTGGGGTTCAGTGTATCGGCTCTGGGTTGAAGACCCTGATTCTTTGTGCTGTTTGTGTTGCTTGGGGGTCTTGGGTTGGGTGCAGTGATTGCTGAACTGCGCAATCCTGGTCCCTCGTCAAGCCCTGACGGCTTAAAGATTGCACAGGCATTGAATCTTAATCCCAAGAGCACGGCTTTGACCGAGAAACTCCAGTGAAGCGTCAATGCCCCAACAATGCTTGGGGCTCCATAACAACGAAGTCCTGGCAGATTTTGGGTTTAGGTCACCAAGTTTTGGTTCGTGGCTGTTACGGGATTTTTGATGCAAAGTTTGAACGTGCCGTTCACCCGCGTCGACCAGAAGCCTTTCAAAGCAAAGTGAAGCCTCATCCTACGAACCTGACGAGACCGGCCAAATGTCTGAGTTACAAAGTCACGAAAGTCACAAGTCTTCATTCCGGAAATCAGTGCATTGAAAGCAAGGCCTTTGAGTCGCTTGGAAGTCTTAGTGCAAATCTCTGCAGCACGAAATCTCTTGTATTGTCGAATCTTCGACTTCAGCAAGGAGGGTGGATCTATTCTCAGCAGGACCTCCTTGCAGCCTACCGCAGCGGCCGCTTGCGCAGCGTCGTTTTCTACTGCCCCACGTGAGCAGCCTCGGGGGCGACGGAGCTGGTAAGGGACATGTCCAAACCTTTAATTTCTTCAACTACGTCATTCAGCTGCGAGAAAATAGGGTGTGCGAACAACATGAGCCCGTTAGCGTGTTAAGTTAGGCGAGCAGAAATCAGCAAAGCATATGCGAGCTCTTCAGTTTTCCCACCTCCCCCTGCTCAAGCTGGTACCCAAGCCCAAGCGATGATGCTGGTGTCTTTAGAACCGACCCTGAGGTTCAAAGATGACGACGAGGCTCGCCCAGAAGAGTGCGGATGTTGAGAACAGATTTGTTTTTGGAAGCTTGGGTGTTAGACAAGATGACGGAAAGTGCTCTGTGGCGCCTTGGAGTTGGGCGTTAGCCTGAAGATAGGTGCTGGGAAGGCCACCCGGATTTGCAGTATTTCGGGGCTTCGGTGGGCATCATTGGGGTTTGTGTGTGTAAAAATCCCTTGTCATTACGGTCCTGATAGAGGCAACCACGGTGATGTACTCGTCAGTTTGAGCATGACATGCAGTGGAGTTTGTGCCGGCGCGTATTCTTTCCGAGCTGAGTGGAACATAGCCACCGGTGAGAGCCTCAACGTGAGTGTCCCATTTACTTGCATGAGATTTTGTAGTTGGTGCTTTCATATAAGCTAAAGGTTGCCAATGCGAGCTTGACAGGGGCATTACACCTGCTGTGCCATTCGTGGCTCGGTGATACTCTGTGTTAGATTGTATTGGCAGGTGGCTCACCGGAAATGTGCTAAGCACAGCTACGGCCGACTCGATGCTGTAATGAAACCGTGCAGTTGTATAAAACCGATAGACTCACTAGAATTTCGGTAGTTCAAGACCCACTTTCTTTGATTGAAGGCGCCTTGGGCTCGAGTGAAAAATGGGCTATCTGTTGCGGATGCGACTCCGGCACCTAGGACCGATAGTTGCGCTAGCTTCTCGGTAGTTCAAGGCCTACACCTTGTTTGATTGGATGCGCAGCTAGGCTATCTGTTGCGGATGCGACTCCGGCACTTGTACTTCCATTTCTCAGCGTGCTTTTTGGGCCAAGATGACCTTGCTGCCCAGGAGGTGGGCCTGTGGCCACTGGATGGCGGACTTGCCACGCTGCTGCTGGATGCCCAGACCAAGATGCAGCAGAAGCCGTGATACACATGCGCAGTACATGTTTTGAATAGGCAACAGAGGAAAGACGGAAGTAGCTGCAAATAACAAGTGTGATAATCGTCGTCAAGGACAACACCAAGGCAAGTGTAACATAGATCTTGCGTAACATCGGGCAATGGAAGGGAGCTGGTCTCTAAGGCAAGTCGTAAACTCATGAGTGATTACGGTAATACGAGTAGCAACAGTAGTCATAATATTAAAGACAGGTACGCTGTGGGGCCCCAGCTTTTCCACATAAGGCTTTGCGATTTTTTGCGGATTGTTGTTTAAAGATTCCGTTTTGGAACTGTTTCCAACCTAACAATGGCTTGACGCGTACAGGCAAATGCGTAATCACACATCTTTACAAGATGTAGTGCAAGCAAATCAAACACAGACTTTCAAAGGGTGCAGGAAAGCCTCCAGACAGCTCCAGAGGGTCGGGGGGGGGGGGGGGGCTGCAAAAAATTACTGAAAAAGTTGGTTGTCCAGGAATGCCGTAGGTCTCTCAACTTAGTTCCGCGCGCGCCCGCGGCCGGACACCTATCTCCGCAATAAACTGGTGTACGTCGAGGTTCATTGAAGTTTTAAATATGATAAACGGTAAGTTGATATAGCTTCATTGGACAATTTGAATCTTAAACGCGGCCCATTAATTTGCACGTGAAGTCAGCTCCAGCGGTAATCACATTTGTTATCAACGCGGTAGTATATTCAACTTGCATCGCTTTCCGAATGCACCACCACGATATGATGTTGGCAAGGATACCATCCAGCATTGTCATCATGCATGTCAAATTCAATCGCGTGCAATTCAATGACGCCAACAAACGAATAGATCCAATGATGACCATATTCACGTCTCGGACGTCATGCTAAGAAATTAAACTTTGGGAATGCGGTATCAAACGCGACACAACAGATCCACATATGTTTCATGTGCGATATTTCTTATCTAACATACATCTACATGTAGGGTAACGGTGGTAGCATGTCCGTTCCAACACCGATGGCAGAATGTCGTAACTTCTGCGATATGGCAAGCAAGCTTCGACAAGTTTTTTATTTTAAAATTACTGCGGGCAGAAGACACCGCAAATAAAAGTCTGGTGAGTCTGGTGATGCCGATGCTGTCCTGAAGCTGTGCATGTACATGCTTGACGCTAAATACTGGGAGGCAGTGAGAAGTATGGGATCAGGGTTGGAGTTGATATTGCGGTATACACCCATCCATGTGTGATATTTGATTCATTGCGTCTGTGTTACAAGAGGTTTGGTTGCGGTTTGCCCAAGTCGCTTCTCAAAACTCACACTTGCAGCGGCTGATAATCTCTTAATCATGAAAATGCAATACTTTTCGTAACATATCTGAAACAACAGTTTTAGACGGAGAATCCGCATGTGAACTGAACAAGATTGGAAGATTACAGTAGTTCCAGACCACGGTCTCCGTTCGGATTTTCAAATCCCGCAGTATGATAAGTCGAACACATGTGAAGACAGATGTTTGTTCATGACATTCGAAATCATACGAAAGCTGCTTCAGAAGCCCTAGGAATCAGCAAAATTAAACCTGTGGGTTCTAATGGAGTCTAAAGGATTCCATTGATGATATGCTTGGTTTCCAAGCATATGCTGTGGCTCTAGACGGCATCTAACAAACATGTGATTTGTCACTGACATGCGTATATGTGCTTCTGCCTTCTGGTTAGGAATCAGACCAACTTTGTCTCACTACGCAGCTTGACTGCTCAAGACCGACCCTGCGTCAGGTCCAGCAAAAGGTCCGCTAGCGCCTGGGGGTTCTAGTGTTGCCTTTCCGCTGAGCGTCAAACTTACGGTTTTAATCTCTGATTGTCCTGCTTTGCACCGCTTGCTTTGCTTTGATCTGCGATCGGCTGCCTTGGGCTTTGTGACCGAGAGTTGAGTGGAATCCTCCGCTTTTCACAGGTTATCAGCCGTAAGGCCTCCGCATCCGATTGTGGATTGCTGCTTCGCTGCTGCTGCTCGGCACTCGGACCGCCTGATCCAATCAGTGTCTGATCACTACCGTTTTCCTGGCTCAGACCAAGTTCGGAACTTGTGATTGGCCACGCCACCGAGAGAATGGCGACTCCGATCGGTTCTCCCCGTGTCCCCTCGACTGTCGGTTCTTCACTAGTGACGCCAGTTGCTCGGGATGTCGTGGAGCCCGATGATAGTGCCCACGCATCTCGCTGCACTGCACCCGCCTCGCACGCTTCGCTCGCTCGCTCTGCTTCGCTGCTTGCTTCGCCGCCTGCTGAGGACGATCAGAGAGCTCAGCACCATGCGCCGCTTTTGCCATGCTCTGCTGCCGCTTTCGCAACGCCTGGCACGATGCACGCCGGCATGCTGCCTGCTCCTGCCACCGCTCGTGCTTTGCCTTTGTTGCCTGCCTTTTCTGCGTCCGCTGCTCCTGCTGCTTCCGCACCTGCCCTTCTTCCGACCGATTCTTTGTCTTGTCCTCTGTCCCTTCGCGGGGATCCAGAGGGCGCTCGGGCCCTCTTTGGGTCCGGGCCGGACGGCCGTGGTCCACCGATTTCGGACCCGGCGTCCTTCCGTCCACCGCGCCCCGATTCTTATGGGCCGGTGGCAGGCCGCGGTGGAGCCTCGCTCCCCGACGAGCCTATGAGCGAGCACCCGGGTGCACCCCATGTTTCCGTCGCAACGATTACCGCGGCGGATCATGGTGGTGCTGCCCCCGCCACCGATAACGGCGGGAGGCTTCCCGGTCCCTGCGCTGTCAGGGCCCTGGTCGATGAAGCCATTGGGTCGGAAGCATCCGCGCGTATCGCCACCGATATTTTGGCGATCGCGCAGGGTGTGTCCAACACCCAAGCCGACCTCGATATTCTGAGGAACGGCGTCTCGGACATTGCTGAAGCACTTGAAGACAAGATCCGAGAAATGTGGGAGCTTCTACAGGCCGAGATGAGGAAGGAGCGTGAACTACACACGATCTTTCAGGACTCCGTCCGCGAAAGGCGGATTTCGGATCATGAAACTCTTGAAGAGCATTTCGCGAGGCTCAACTCGATGGTCAACGATCGATTCATTGAGTTTGATGAGCGGATCCACCGATTCAACGAAAAGCGTGCTGGATCGATATCCATGCAGCTTGCTGAGACGATCCGCCACATCAAGCATTACCCTGATGCGCTGCAGCAAATTCAGATCAATATCTCAAATGCTGAGGCGCGGCATCGCTACGGTTGAGCAGAATGCTACTCACCGTATCGAGGTCATTAGAACCGAAATGAGCCGTGCTCTCTACGATCATAAGGAGAGTAACCGTGTTCTCATCGATCAGCTCACTGCTCGCATTCAGCATCTTGAGAGTTCTCATGTCCGCAGGGGTGGTTCTGACATGTCGACACCTTCGCGTCCGGAACGGACGCAGTTCTTCGACATCAGTGACCATGATGGGGATATCCCACGTCCCGCGGACTTGCCGCCAGTTCCTGGTGCTCTATTCCCTGGCGGACCGACTACAGCCATTCCGAGATCTTCTTTGTTGGGTCCGATTGATCATGGCTCTCCGCCGGGATGCAATGCTGCGCCTGCTGAAAAGGCCTCAACGGTGCACTCTCAGACGAGTGGCATCAATCTTGATGACATTCTGAGGCGCGCGCAGCAACGAGTCGCTGATGATCATCCTCCTGAAAGTCGCGGGCAAAATAATCCTGTTGAGCCCGTCCGACAAAATTATGGCCAAACGTCTGCCTCTTTTTCAGGAAGATCTCCGATTCCGACCGTTCCGTCCACAAATGCCGCCGGAACGACATCCGGCCAAGCTCCGAGCGTCAGACCCTTCCCTGTCGATGATGATCTGGCCATTCGCAGTGGCGTCCGCTATGACCCTGAAACCCAGAGATTTGCTCCAGAGCCCAAGCGGAGCCCTACATTTCCGTGCCAGATCTCGTATGATACGCGAACTGTTCCGGCAGGAAAGGGACCTTCAAGATGGTATGATGCAATGCTTGGCCGATCCAATCTCATTGGCAGCGGTTCTGGTGCACCTGTTCTCCAAAGCGAGACTGGTACCTTCACGCTAGCACCGAGCGCAAGCGTCACTGGAACACTTCGACCTGCTGCCACTAATGATGTCGATGGATGGACTATGCCTCCGATGCCCACCTTTAATGCTAGAACATCCGCCCCTGCACCCAGTGCTGCGCCATCCGGATTAGGCGGACCGCCGCCCGCGCATGGCGGTGACGGTGGTTCTTTCGGTGGTGGTGGCCCCAACGATAACGGGGGTGCATATGGTGGTGGTTTTGGTGGACATGGACACCATGGGTCCGGTTTCGGCCCAGGTGGCGGTGGTGGACCACCCTGTGGCCCGCCCAGTGGCCCGCCCGGTGGTGGTGGCCCTCCTGACGGGAATGGCCCGCCTGATGGTGGACTTGATCCGCCTAGCATCAGGCCCTCCGGCCGGCCGAGTGGGAATGATACTTTCCAGTGCGAGCGATGCACCGGAACTTTCCCAACCACCGTGCGGCGATCGTGCATATCTTGCCGATTCTCGTGTTGCAATGGATGTTGCCGAGATCCTTTGAGAATCTGTCTCGTGTGTCTTGAGAGACAGACTGGGAATCCGCCCGGTCCCAACGATACGGGATTCGGTGGACCCAAGGGCGATGGATCGCTGAGCGAGGCTAAGAAGGCGAAATGCAAGTCCTTCCGACTCGATCCCGAGCCGGAGCCCGCTCAGCTGCGGCGCTGGATCGTCGACATGAAGGAGCGAGTTGCAAATGCATTCGCATACGATCCCGGATACGCACTCTCGTGGGTTGAGATTCCCGATGGTACACGATATGAAGACCTTCTTGATGAGTGCAAGTACGGAATGCTTGAGAATGAATGCAACTCTGCATTCCGCGAGTGCGTCAAATCCATTGCACTAAAGAATAAGATCCAGACCGAAACCGAGCGCATGCATACGATAAATCGGCGACTCGGCAGTAGGCAGATCTTTTGGTTGTTGTATGATTTCCTTCGACCACATGTCACTGGCGATTCGACCTTCAAGCTCGTCGATCTGATGAAGACCACGATTGATCGGTTTACTCATGGATCCGAGCAGGAGAGGCTAGAAGCCTTCTCCAATCGGTGGGATCATGTTCTCGCTGGTATCTCAGTCGATCGTCCCGAGGATCCTGTTCTCTGCGCACTCTTCTATGAGCAGGTACGTGAGTTCCGCTGTCTCGAGCTCGATATGCAGTTGTGGGACAGGGACGTGTCTGTCCGGAACTACGCGTATTTGCGGACTGTCTGCGTCAATGCGATTACAACTTGGCGCCGGCGTCGCAACCAGGAGAAGATGTACACCGCTACTCGATCCACGTCTGCGCAAAGACGGTATGCTGCACCTGCACATGGTAGCCCACGCAGATCCTTCTCAAGAAGCAAGAGGGGATCTAGGTCTCCTGGACACCGAGACTCAAGAAGAGGGAGTCCCTACCGAAGGAGCTCGCCGAGGCGCTCGTCGCCCAGACGATCCTCCCCGAGGCGCGGTTCGCCGAGGCGATACTCGCCGCGCAGTCCGGGAAGGGCCGCTCCTGCTCCGACGCGCCCTGCATCACGATCTCCACGAGGGCGGGAAATCTGCTACGATTTCAAGAACGGCAGATGTACGCGAGGAAGCGGTTGTAAGTTCTCTCACAACCTTAAGGGCAGAAGCTCCTCGCCGAAAGGATTCCCGCCTCGATCCCAGTCACCGATATCAAAGGAGTCTGGCATATGCTTCTACTATGCCCGTGGAACTTGCACAAGAGGTGATAAGTGTCCGTATAAGCATGTGAAGCCTGGTGCTCCTGCTGAGAGCACTTCTGTTGCCGCTCCTGCGCCTGCTGAGCCCGCGCCGACATCAAGGCGGGTTGACAGCCCGGCGCCAACGCCCTCGGATTTTTGAGAGGGGCGTGCCGCAACCCTCAGGCAATGACAGCATCCTCCTTTGGAGACTTTGCGTTCGCTTGTGCAGCATCATTCGATATGGCATGTCCGTCAGTCAAGCGGAAGACAGTGTCGTTTGGGAACACTGAGACCCGCGTGATAGAGTCTTCTTTCCCGGAGCCGGCCTTCGGCCCCGTCAATCGCGAGAGGAATTTGAGCTATTCGTGGCCGGAAAATATCCGTGGTCTGAATAGTGCTCGCGAGAGGCGAAGAGCCCATATGAAGGCTGTGCTGTGGCGAGAGCAGGTTTTGCTCGATGACATTGATGCCAAAACGTTAGGAAATGATGCTTGTGTTCTTGAGCTCACGCTTTCTCAGCGGAGCGCTTGCGAAGTCTTTGCTGCTGCTGTCAAGTCTATTAAGAGGGTACGGAGACTCATGCTTGACTCCGGTTGCGGTATAGACCTTATTGGTCTCGGTGATTTATCCCGTGAGGAAAGGGATCTGATCGTCCAGAATGCTAAGATCAGTCTTCGGACAGCCAACGGGAAGACCAACACCAAGGGTGTCGCGCATATGCGAATCGATGGTCTCGATGAACTGATTGAAGCTTATGTGTTGGAAAGCACGCCAAGTCTCCTTTCCCTTGGGAAACGATGTAAGGAGCTTGGTTATCGATTCATTTGGGAGCCCTTTTGCGATCCGATATTCTTTGATCCGAAAGGGAAACGCCTCAAGGTCGACGTGATCAATAATATTCCCTACCTTGCTCCAAGTGAGACAGAGGTAGTGGCCGGCCGACCTGATCTCCCTCGTGTGTATCCGGCCCTCCCAGCACCGATTATCGTCCACGAAAAGGTCGTTGCAGCTGGTGAGGAGCCTGGCAGCGAATTAGACGCTGTCGGAGAACTTGATCTCGATATGCCCAACGCCAAGAGCATTCAGAAGAGTGCACCTGACGATAACAAGAAGGTGCCCGACAAGGGTAAGCCTCAGTCGCCGCCTGATGAACCTAGAGCGCGCGATCTGAGAGATGAGGCAAAGTCAATCCGTCATCTCATGACCCATCTCCCAAAGAACCCCTATTGCGATGCCTGCCAACGTGCAAAGATGGAAAATGTTAATAAATCATTTCGTCAAGACTCACCGCGCGATAAAGGGTTTGAGAAGTTTGGCGAACACGTTACCATCGATACAATGGTGTTGCATGGGCTCGGCAATCGCGGGAATAATGGGGAGACGGATGCTGTCGTCTTTTACGATCTAGCAACCGAGTGGCTGGAAAGCGTTCCCGTTAAGGGAAGAACGAATGCCGATACGCTCCGAGCATTTCAGCAGGTCTTTGGCGATCTTCGAGATGTGAACTCGTGCTCCATGGATGTGGAAAGGAGGTATGCACCTTCTGCGATTCGGGAAATATACTGTGATAAAGCCCGTGAGTTCATATCGACCTGCGAGAAAGTCGGCATATCTGTGAAGCACTCCACCCCGGGAATGCCTCGAACTAATGCCATTGCCGAGAGCAAGGTGAAGCTTGTCCTTCATGGCGCACGTGTGGCGCTACGGCAAGCGGGATTGAGCGCCAAATTCTGGCCTTATGCATGCAAGCACTTCTGCCATGCTCGCAACATCGAGTTGCGCGAGGGTCAGAGTGCCTATGCGATGCGATTTGATGGTGTTGAGTTTGACGGTCAGATTCTGCCGTTTGGTTGTCTTGTTGACTTCTATCCTACGCCGGCACGAAAACAGACCCGGCGGAGTCAGAGAGATGAAGTCGTCCTCGGCGATGGTGAGGAGTACGCCGTACCTGCGCCTGGAGCCGACGGACTGATTGATGTCGAAATTGGTTTCGATGACGATGGTTATCTTGAGTGGATTGATGATGGAGACAATGATCAATCTAGCACTCTTCAGGGCGCCGACGTTGATCAACGCTTGTCGTCTTACCAACGCCCCAGTAAGTTCTCCCCTACGAGTAAGCCTGGTATTTTTCTGGGTTATCATTTTGAGAACGGGGGCAAGTGGGACGGTGACTACATTGTCGCCGATTTGGAAGACTTCAAACGCGATGCATTGCGTGCGAGCGTCCATCAAGTCAAGAAGATATATTGCTCACCCAAGGAGCGATGGACGTTCCCGATGCTCGCCGTGTACGACAAGCAGACTCGATCAATGTGCATCAACGATCCTGCGATGCAATCCTGTGCGCCTCAATCTAGTGAGCGCCTTGACGCCTCTGATATGCTCGAACTCGAAGATATCGATGAAATATTTGCCCTCGACGAGCCGACCCGAATGACCGAAGAAGATGTTCGGCGGGCTCGTGAGGCCGAGTTACGAGCCGAATCTTCTCATGGAGGAGGTGTCGACTACTGGGAATATGATCCATCGAGTCATAAGTGGACTTATCACGTAGTCGTCCCGAGAAAGGCGATGATTCATCCCAGTAAGACTCCCGGATCGAATTCTTTGATGATGGCTTTGCCCCATCCAAGAAGAAGTTACCTCCTTACCATGGGTCGGAGATCCTGGAGGGCGAGGGGGGTTTGCCTTACCGTCAGAGTGTGCCGCGCTCCGAGCGTGTCTACAGAGGGTCTCGAAAACCGAACTCTATCGACTCCGAATCCTGGCGCAGCATGAATCGCGCCGAACGGGAGGGGTATGTCGAGGCTGAGCGCCGAGAAGCTGAGTCTCACGCCATGTCCCGAGAGGATTCTCGCGATGCCGCTCCTGCCGACATCGCTTTCGATTCCGAATATGAGTCGGGTGCTGAACGGCATGATAAGGATTATTGGTATCACGATGTCGCAGCTGGCACGGTCACCCGATTTCATGTGATCGAGCGCCGAGCGCGCTTTAATCCCACCTCAGTGAAGGACTGTCGATCCTGCGACCTTGACAGATGTCAGGATGACTATGGCCATGACCGATGGCACGGAATTTACGTTGCAGGATTCATGGAGATCATCCGATGTGCGATCTCTGCCATGTCGATGGACAGGAAAGACCGTTTTCGTTATCGGTTCTTCTGCCAAAACACAGATCAAGGTTCGAACCAGTCTGCCGAATAACGACGGAACAGAGCGCCGAGTGCAAACGGCGAACGGCTATTATGGCCACGCCTTACGTGCGAAGGGACGTGTTGTAGTCCCTGCTAAATCCCGCGCCTGTGTTGTTACCGACCTTGAATTCGATCCCCCAAGCGGCATGTCGGCCCGCCTTCAGCCGCTTCGCGGTAGTGGCCTCGATATTTGTCCGGCCATGTATACGTACAACGAAGGGGCCACCCAATCCGGGGTCGACGTCCTTAATCCTACCGACACCGATCTTATTGTCGAACCAGGACAGGATGTGGCAGTGGTTCAGTTTTATACTTCCGTGCTAGCCGCAGTTGAACTTGATTTCACGGATGAGGATACCGGGGATGGTACATCTGCACCGGTAGAACCCTCCAACGACTGTCTGGATACCGATGCAGCACCTGCGATGTCTATTCGTTCCGATCCTCATTCGCATCGCTCTCCAGACTCTTCGGTGTTCTTTTACAGCGCGTGTGTCGCACGGCCTGTTGATCGAAAAGAACGTGCCGCTAATCCCAAGGCCAAGGCCGCCCTTGATAAGGAGTGGAATAAACTTATCAACCAGGGCTGCTGGGATTACGCTTCAGTGCGTGAATGGCGCGATGTGTCTAACGAGGCCATGGCGAAAGGAGAGACGGCCCATGTTGGTCGTATCTTCGATATATGCGTGGAAAAGAACTCCGAGCTTCCAGAATCCGATCCAAATCGAAAATTTAAGGGTCGTGTCGTGTTTGAGGGCTGTCATGTCAAAGATGAAGGCAACAATTGGCTGATTTTCTCCGAGATAACTTCATGCCCCGCGACCATGGAGGCAGGGAAGGCCGCTGATGCTTTCGGTCTCTTGCCCGGTCACGAAATACAAGTTGCTGACGGCGAGTCCGCCTACACTCAAGCTAAGCTTGGTGGCCCCGCCACATGGGTGCGACTGCCCAAAGATCGATGGCTGCCCGAATGGCATGGAAAGTATCATGACCCGGTTGTGCGTCTTGTGTTGGCCCTTTATGGGCACCCGGATGCCGGTGGGTTCTGGGAACAGCATTGCGAAAAGGCTCTCCGCTCTGTTGGCTTCGAGCAATGCCCTGACTGGAAGAGCGTGTTTCGCCATCCCAAGCTTAACCTTATGCTCGTGGTCTACGTCGATGATTTTAAGCTCAGTGGACCAAAGGCCAATCTGGCCAAAGGGTGGGAGCTCATGGCATCAAAGATTAAACTGGAGCCACCCTCGAGCATCAAACGTTATTTGGGTTGTGAGCATGTTACTTTCTCCCATGTTGTTCCTAATTCTTTTGATCCGCGCTCCTATTGGACGCGTTCCGAGGAACCCAAGAAGGCATTTCCCGAGCTCACTTTTGGCGATCGTGGCACTACTGTCGCTCAGGGCTCTGTCGGTCCTCGCGAAATCCGAATGATCAAGTACGATATGCGATCGTTCATGGAGCAATGTGTCTCTCGCTATGTTGAGCTCTGTGGTCCGAAATACAAAGCCACCTTGCGGTCGGCTGACACGCCGTTTCTCGATGAGTCACGACCGGAGTTCGATACTAATCCGGATCGTCCCGAGGTGAACCGCTTGTTGGGCCATCCCACCGATACGCCTGTGCCTCCTGGTAAGGGCGTTCTCGGTGACTGCGCTGCCGCTGTCCTGATGAAAATCTTGTATGGTGCTCGTATGGGACGGTACGATCTCATCCGTCCTGTGCAGGCACTTGCTAGTCTCATCACCAAGTGGGATGGTTTGTGTGACAAGAAGCTTCATCGTTTGGTGTGTTATATCAATTCCACCCTCGATCTCAATTTATATGGTTGGATTGGTGATGCGCCCGAGATGTTGGAGCTTGTGCTCTATTGCGATGCTGATCTTGCGGGCGACCGCACTGATTCCAAGAGCACGTCTGGTGTATTCATGTGTCTTCTTGGCCCGCGTAGCTTTATGCCTCTTAATGCGCTGTCCAAGAAGCAGACTTCTGTGTCGAAGTCTACTCCCGAAGCCGAAATTGTCTCCCTTGATCACGCCGTCTATAAACTGGGATTGCCCGCTCTCTCCATGTGGGAGTATATGTTGGGCCGTCGCTTCCGTTTGCGTGTCATGGAAGACAATGAAGCTGCCATCCGAGTCATTATCACTGGTCACAATCCTAATATGCGTCATATGTCTCGTACCCAGCGTATCGATATTTCTGCGTTGAATGAACGCTACCACGCTGGTGACTTTCTGTTTGTGACGTGTCCCTCTCAGTTTGAGGCTGGTGATATCCTGACCAAGGCCTGCACTGATGCTAAAGTGTGGGGTCGCAACCTTATGTCTATTGGTCATTTTCGTAAAGGTACTCTTATTTCCTCTGGTATGCTGTCTGCCGCTCCCGCTCTCTCTGCTCTCCCCTCTGTCTGTCCAACCAGGGGGGTACATCTTGAAACTGGTCACAGTCCCTTCAACGATTTCATCCTCGACATGTCTCGTCAGGGGGTATTTCAATTGATGATGCTCACCAATTCGGAGCAGCCATAAAATGTATTCATATCGGAGGCGAAGGCATAATCCGATTCCCTCATGCTCGAAGTATCAATCTCAGTCTCGACGATAATGCAAAGGGGATTGCTATTTCGAACATCAGGGTTCCGCCTACGCCTGCGGTATGTATTGTTACTGTTCCGATTGCTGGCACCGCTAACAAAAGAGAAGCCGGTTTCAAGAGCAGGGGTTGGAAAGAAATGAGGGGCGACCTCAAAGAAAAAGGATGGGAAGCCAAGAAATTACTCGGGTGTGCTTCCGCTGCCCGGTCATCTGGAATCCCTGCATTCCTTGTGCTACCGAAGGGAAACCCATTGTGGGGTAGGGAGTACATAAGACGATGGTCTGAATCGCACGAGCTTTGCCCAGTTAAGCTATGTTCGTGCTCCTCTGGTCGATGTTCTCAGCATGCGTGGATGTGCGAGATTTTCATGCCTGCCCGGTTTGGGCCCATCTTCATGTCACGATTTGCATGCAATCACAAGAAGGCCAAAAGGGTCGACCCGAAAGAGCTTCGATTTGCATTGTGGGCTGTGCTAGAACATTTCATGAATTCTGCGGTTTTTGGCTCACAGCAATCCGCGTTGCCGATTGCTTAAACAAAGACGCCAAGGCCATGCACATACTTACACACTCACACTTGACTATAGCTTGGTAAGGAGCTCTAAGGGCAACGATCATGGATCACCTTCGTCAACCGACCATCACAGACCACCTCTACTACGACTCAGTCCATAGCCCACTTGCGCTCCCTGCTAGGACAGGTTGTAGCTGCCACGGGCTGCGAACTTCTCCGCGCTGCCGCCGCTGCTGAACGATGGGAGGAAAGAACAAGCAGCCACCGAAGAAGGCTGCCGCCAAGACACCGGCTGCCCGATCACCTCAGCCGAAATCTCCCTCGCCTTGCGGGGAAGGCCTTCCGAGCGGCCCGATTGCGCCAACTACGGAAAGGCCTCCTGCTCCGCCGATCCCTACGGAGCAGGATGACGCCAACATGGGCGCCGATGAAGCCCCAGTCCCGATTCAGACCCCGAGAGATGAGTCTACTGGGGGTGGGAAGCGCTCCGAGGACGTTCCGATAGGATTGAGGATGAAAGCAATGATGCTGAAGATCGGGGTCCAAGAGATCCCACAGGCCTCAATCTGGCAGCGCCTCGAACAGCTGGCATGCAACTCTGGTTTCGACCAAAAGCTGCATCAACTAGTTGACTCCTTCCTCCTCTCTAATCATCCGCTTGCGGATAAGCAGAGGAAGCAGTACCCCCGAGAGTTTTTGGACTTCATCGACCGATACAGGGTGATGTGCGCTCTTGCATTTTCCCGAGTGGCAACGTTGTCCGGTGATGCCGCAGGGGTCCGCGAGAAAATGGACCTTACGATGGCACTGGCTCGCCACTGTATGCACTTCCAAGCGCAAACCTTTAAGGGGTCTCGAGAGACACTGAGCAACGATACGCTCCGTCTCATGGGAACCTGTTACATTCCGTCGCCTCTTGCGAGTTGGAATCGAAATCTCATGGGATACAGCAGTTCGACTGCGGAACAGCGATGGTTGAGGACCGATACGAGTATCAAACACAACGACCTCACCAAGCTGTCGCCCATTGAGCTGTCAAGGGATGTGGTCAACCCGGCTGAAGCCGCGAAGTTCTTCAAGGGATTTCTGCAGCTCAGGCCGACACTTTCTTTCATCCCTGGAGCGTTTCTGGCAATCAAGGCCCTTAACCGATTTCCCACGCTGAATTCTCCGAAAGAGCAGGCGACTCATCTCGAGAATGATCGCAAGGAACACGGTTACGATCTTCCCGCCGTGGATGCGAATGGGATTGGTGAAGTGGCCGCCTTTCGCAACGAAGACGACGATGAAAATAACCCGCTGATGCGCGGGTGGGTCTCGTTCATGAAGGCGATGGTTGAGGCCTACCCCGGGCGATGCGTCAGCATCGATGATACGCTCAACTGGAGAGCCAGCACCCAAATGACCTACGAGGACGGTGCGTCACAGATCACTATCCGCCCGACTGACGGATGGGTGTATGTCCCAGCGATGAATTCGGACATATACGATCCTCAGGAAACGTTCCTTCACGGAACGAATCTCCGATACCTCTGGTCGATCCTTGCACACGGAGGTCTATTCGGGGAGGATTACGTGACGGACGATCATGGAAGTCACGAACCCTGCGTCTGGGTGACTGGACACGCCCCCGAGGCTGCTGGTAGCTATGCATCTGGCGCGTACCTCGGTGGAGGCTACTGGTGATGATCTGCGTCTCCCGAACTATGGTGAACAGCCACAGTCGCACGACAAAGAAGCTGGGGGGATCCCAGAAGCAGATCCGCGTAGGAACTCGATTTCTCGAGCTGTGCGGAATCGCGTTCAGGCCCTTCCGCCTCTTGGATGACCGCGAGCAAGGGGTTTCTACTTCCCCGAACTACGTCGTCCACGGACACCGATTCCTCAGTGCCGATGGAACGAAAGCCGTGGCCTGGCACCCGTGGATGGAGGCGAGCCCGATCGATCCTCGCATTCTGAAGCTGTTGGGAGACAGTGTCGCGCGCGACAATGTTGAGTTTGCCGACCTCACGATTCAGGGGGGCAACACTACCCAACAGGCTGCATCTACCGATGCGGAGCAGCCTGTAGCGACCGCGGCCGATGATCAGGCTGTGGCGGGTGGTGGTGAGGCAACGGAGCGAATCACCGTCAACCCGATAGTGCTTCGACGCAATCACTGGATGCCCGACTCGTACGGGACGAGCGAGCAAGCCACTGTCGGTGGAAGGTATGCATTGCTATCCGAGCTCCAGTCCTCTAGCTACCGAATCGAGCTTGCTCCTTTCTTTCAGCTGCGTGCACCCATCCTGGGTGAGGAAGGCAGCCAAGGTTTGCCAAAGCCTACAAAGCTCGAGACAATTGCCGGAGGACCCTCCAAAGAGTGGGAGGCATGGTGCAGGCACTACCGAAAGGCATACGGTGCTCTGCTCGGCAACTTCGGCTACACGCCCGCCAAGAATATCAAGGGTATCGTATACGATGAAGAAAATACGACGGATATCATTGGCGCGCCTATTTGGAGCCCAGCCGATGCCCTTGTGGCTGTCTCGATTCACGGGATCAGAACGGTCACGACCATGGCATCCACGATTGCATTTGGAGGTGCTCCGCCAACGATCAAGCCGGCAGTACCCAGCAAGCCGCAGAGATTCGTTGTCATGCACGATGGCCTGCTAACCTTCAGATCTGCCAAATCCTGGCACGCTGGTGAGATGAACACCCATCTGAAGAACCGCTGGCAAGCTTTGGATTCCCTGAGTCCGAAGTTCGGGTACAGGCGTTTGATGAGGGCGAAAAGCTCAAGGAGATGGTAGACACTCTCGAACTGATGCGGAGTGACCCATCTGTCCCGCCATCGAACGTTCACATCCTCATCCTCTGGAAAGGAGACGAGTTGTGGAAGATGGACCAAGGCTGGAATAAGCTGACTGGTGACATCGATATGGCACGATCACAATACGCCAAAGTGACCGCCCGGGACGCCCTTGAGAAGTATAACACGATCTACGGATCGGTGTCCCTTTGCGGACCAGTGTCACCGAGCATGGGTTTCCTTCCGACTCTTCCTGGCCCTCTCTTCGAGAAATACAGAGAGGAGATGAGGTCGATCTGGGACGAAATCAGGAGGTCCAACTTCCTCTCCCTGTCGTTTGACGCTATCCTGGAAGGACTACCATACCTGAAAGGATATCACATCATGCATGAGTCCAAAACGATCGGGGTCCTGTGTACCCGTATCTGCTCGATGTTTACACTTGCGGCTCTCGCACGATTTCCGTCTTACGCTACACGACGGGAGTATCAGATTGCCCACGATAAGATGTGGGCGCGCACTCCAGTTCCGGAAGAAAGGTCGACGGGCACGGTGAAGGCCATTGTGCACTCCACAGTGCAGGACCTTATCGAAGGGGCAGATCGCGGCGCCGATCATCGAGCCGCAAAGACCGTTGACATGAGTCAGCTTGGCTTCGATGACGAAGATGATGAAGAACTGGCTGACGATGCGGGTCCGACTGCTCCTGAGAATCCGATCAAACAGGAACAGACGACTTTGGCTGATCTGCCGGGTATTCGTCATCCGGATCCGATTGAGCTGCCCGCTACTCCTGTGCCTGGCCAGGCAATGCCGGTGTCGCCCGGCCTTGCTCCGGCTGCTACGAACGATGAAGAGTCTAGCGATAGCTCCGATGGCGACGGACAGCAAGGGGATGGCGATGCAGTGATGCCAAGGAGGAATCCGATGAGGAGTTCAATGAGCTTCTCGAAGGAATGACTGAAGCATTCGAGAACTTGCCTACTCCCCGGGATGCAGAGCGAACAGTCGCCGCCAATCGGGACGCTGCACGACCACCTGCCGTGCCGACGATCCCGCTATCTGCGATGAAGAAGCCAAAGCCGTTCAGTGGTGTGGAAGCCGCGGGACCTACTGCCGAGGGTCGCCAAGGCTATGCGCACTTCGACTTCGAGAGCCAAGTCAGTGAAACTGAGGCTCGACGTGAACAGGCTGCTAAAATGAAGGCGCATATCGCGGAAGTGGCGAAGGGCGCCACGGGAGTTGAGAATGCCGAACACCTTCGATCCATTGCCGATGGGCTAGCCAGGGTCATGGACCCGAACATCAACGATGACAATGTGTTCCAGGGTGCCATGTATCCTCCGGGTGACTATGCGCTTGACGCTGTCACGAACCGGCTGGCCCAGGGCCGACGCGGAGTTGAGTCGAACAGCAATCTCATCAGGGAGATGGCCAGCGACTGATTTACGCCTGTGCTCATGAACCGAGCTACTGGTGAGACTGTGTCCGCCATTGATGCACGGTGGACCCCGGAGTATGGAAACAGGGGGGAGCTCGAAGCCAAGGTTGGTGCGATTATCTCCAACCTGGATGCAGTTGTTGCAAGCATGTCGACCCTCCCTGTGTTTCATCCGCACATTCCCTCAACATATGGTATGGCCCGATCGCTTCTCAACACATACCAGTCATTGCAGATTGCCATCCGACGCCGCGGCATGGGTGCGATGTCCTTTGAACAGATGGTGTTCAAGGCGGAGGACCTTGAGGTTCCGACTCCCGATGACTGGCCGGACCTCATTGCGCCTACCCCTGGAAAAGTCATTCAATCCATGCGGGTGGCCCTGGTGAATAACACGGCGGCAAGGTTGACGAGAGAGGACCTCAAGCTGCCACCGGGCTTCGCCATGCAACGACGAGTGACTGAGTTCCGTAAGCCGGAGGAAGATCCAGTGCAGAGCCTGATGGGGCTCACCGATGACTTGAGCTACGGCACTACCGGTCGATCTGGGGATGACAGATTGTCCCAGTTCCAGCGTAGTATGGCAGTACAGCTGCGGAACACTGCTGGATTCCTTGCGAGTGAGTTCCAGAAGCATGCCCGATCTATTGCCGCTTCTTCCTCGCGTCGCAGTGATGCTTCAGGTGCCCTGAGTAGTCAGGGTGAAGGCGCGGCGGACAACGATCTTGCGTCCACTGAACAGGTTAGTGTTGCATCTGAGCGCGCGACTGCGCCGCCTCCGCCAAACGTGGCTCCTCCTCCTCCTCCTCCGCCTACTGCGGCAGCACCTCCGAGGGCGTCCAAAGAGAGTGCAAAGGAGGATGACGATGATACCAAAATGGATGATGACACGGCCGATCAGAAACCCGAGCAGAAACCCGAGGAGGACGCAGATATGGGTAGCGGGAAGGAGCTGCAAGACGAGGTCCCCGGCAAGGCCCCGCCGCCAGCTGCCCGAACCGCTGAGAACCCTCCGGAACACGGCCTGCGTTCCAGTCCTCCGAATGACATGGTTGCTCAGGGAGCCGCGCTCTCCGGTGCTCGAGGGCTGGATATCGACATTGACCCGGCCAGCACCACAGCCGATCAGGCGGCAAATGATCCGAGAAACTTCCGGATCGAGGGCCCTGGTATCAAGGCGACAACGATTCATCGCCCTGACCAGATGCCCGAGAGGGGTGTCGACTCTATTGCACCGATTGTGCAGTATGAAATGACGTCCGTCCCGATTGCACTGACTGACTTCGTCGTCCCGGGACTCGACATGGGCATCGATGATTCCGTCCATGGTCGGCTGGTCTCCGCGACCTGTCTCCCACCGACTGACGAACAGCGCAAGTACTCGAGGCGCCGATTTGCTATGCTGTCCTCGAATCAGACGGTGTACAGTACTTGAACGTCGCACTTCACAAGAAACCGGTAAAAGGAGATCACGATTCTTTCCTCCGACCGGAGTCTTACGAGGATTGCGGCGAGATCAATGACGCTGTCCGAGTATACAATGCTAAGGAGGCAAAGTTCCGATCCGTCGGCGGGACATCCGTGTCATGCAGCCGATTGTTGATCGACGACGCACAAAACATCCCTGCTGCCAGGATTCCGGACGCAGGAATGATCAACTTGGTGCGGAAACTGCTGTTCCGAGTGCTGACGCAAACGAAGGAGTATCCTTCCGCTACTGCCGAGAGAACGCAGAATCGCCCCCAGGATCAAGAAAGGGGCATTCCCTTGTATTCACGCTTCGACCAGAGTGGCATTATCGCTTTCGATGTCATTCCGATGTACATGGAGCGTGAGAGGGAATACATGAAGGCCAACGCCGGAGAGAACGATGGCCGAATTCTTCTCCAGACAAATATTCTGGATGAGCAAGTCGAACCGACCGAGATCACTACCCGATGCATTATGGAAATCGCTCGGACGGACAACAACCGAATGTTTGAGTTCTTCTACTCGACGATCGACAACGATGGAAGTCCTCAATTTGTTGGCATTCGAGCCACCTACGGTTTCGGCCCTGATAACTTCAACCGATTCCGACTGCTGACCAAGTGCCAGCACGGGCCATTTATCCAGCTCGCTCAGGATCATTACGTCGCTGGCGAGAGGAAAAGAAATGTGGCCCGATACCACCCTCAGTATGGATGGGGATGCGCAACGATTCGCGAATTCTTCGGGTACATGAGCGATTGCAAGATCAATCCTCCGAAAGGACGGCTGTTCCTCACTCTGCTCCCGTATGCTCCCGGATCTGGGAACAACAATGAGTGGGAAGAGGTGTACATGAACGTCCGAATGAACCCGGGGCGTGAGACGCTTTCGAACACCGCGTCATCACAATCCATGCTCCCTGAAGGGATGGGATCCAACCGCATGATCGTGTTTGCGATTGATTTGCACATGATTGCGGCGGGAATCAATCCGATTGTATTCCACCCGAGGGGATATTATGCGATCAAAGACAGTATCCCTCTCGCCTGTATGCCCATTGCATACTTCATGGACACGGGATCCCTAGTGTTCAACACGGCCTTCAAATATGTTGGAGGCCCAAAGTTCGGCACTGGCCCCAAGAGAGGAGACCACAAACGAGAAACGTGGCCGCTTGCTAGTTTCGACTGCCCCATGTGCGGAGCATCATTCCCGGTGGGTAGTCTCCACATGTGTCACTCTTGCACCAAGCCGATTCACTATCCTGATGGGATGTTCTACGCCGATCCTGTGAACCCATTTCAGGTCGAGTACTATGGAAGTCATGCCGAATGGCTCAACGAGCTCATTGAGCGAAACGAGCTTAAAGAATTCCGACTTCACGAGTACCCTGCAATCAAGCAGCTGAGGAATTTCCCGGTGTCTAGGTCACTCGCTGAGGACCACAGGCAAACCGCGTTCTTCGGGGTGCCACCGATCAAATGCACTGCAGCTGATACATCGCCGAAAGAAGTGGAATTGTTCAAGAAGAGCGTGCGCGGAACGATTCAAGGCGCCATTCGATTGGACATCTCCATTGAGAGGCTTGTTGCCGGTATCACTGGTAAGGAAGCTCGGTGCGGTGTGGAAGAGTTCCTCAACTCGCAATCGATCGCCTGTGCAATCACGATAGTCAAGCACTTCGGCGCGGTCTTCGCCACATGCCGCGAGAAGCCGCTGTGCTACTATGCACGATGGTCGATCCACTGTCAACGCGCATACCGAGTCTGCCTGTCGCGCGGCTATCTCTCCCCCTTTTACACAGGGGGGACGATCGATTATACCGTCGACTCAGACATGGTCGAGAAAATTCGGCTTGCGCATCTGCCATTGCAGAACGCCAATCTGGCGATGAGAAGGCAAATTCGACTTTCCACCGAGTTTGGAACGTTGGATGAGTTCCGTGCCACTATCACGGACACGCAAAAGTATCAGCGATACATGCGTGTCGATAGTGAAAGCCTTTCCGCGCTCCTTGCCAAGGTTACCCTCACGACGTGCTACGGCATTCCGATGAAAGGTGAACCTGGCTACATCTCTGACGATGAAGCAGAGGAGATCGAAGGAACTGCGGCGGCAACTGAGAAGCCCAAAGGGAAAGGCAAAGGGGAAGAAGAAGAACCCGATGTCCAAGCCATCAATTGGCGTGATTTGGACCCTTTGGGGCGGAAGTTCATCCCGCACCATACCGATTCCCGATTCACGATTTTCGCTGATGGGAATACGGCACTCCTTGATGCCCCCGAAACGCCTGATGAGAAGCGTAAGGAATTCAAGGAGTTCATTCGCGATCACTCTGTCAAGATTAAGGAATGTTTCGACGATGATCGCGCGACTGAGAAGACGTTCTTCAATCTTGTTGAAGGCGTAAAGGATCAGCTCCCCGATACTAAGAGAACTGACCCTGTTCTTATGAAAAAGAACGAAGATGTCTTCGAGGCTCTACCCGATGAACTAGAAGAGCCTCAAGCTCTGTTCGACGTCGCAGCTCAGCGGGCACGACGACGTGCTGATACGCCTCAGCGCAGAGTGCAGGCCACTGAGCAACGGCACGCGTCGATCCCCGAAGCTCATGCCGTCCCCGTTCCTCCGGATGACGAGGACGAGGATGATACTGAGCTCGAACGGGCGATCCCACGCTGATGGGGAGACACTGATGGTCTCAGGAAGGGCACCCTACTCCGATCAAATGGGTCTACCCTTGGTACTGCGAATGAAGACCCGGGTTCCGGAGCCTGATTTGGACAACCCGACGATTGAAGATATTATTCGCATGTATCACGCACCGAACACGCTGCCTGTTGTCAGGAAGAAAGTCGCCAATGTCATCATTTCGATGAATGCAAATCCCGATGACCCTATCAATATGAAGGCGGCTGGCGTGATTCCTCCCTCTGCCGAGGAAACAGGAGCGGGAAGAGCTGCCTCGCCTGGAGGCACGTCCGCTACTACGCAGGAACGGATTAACCCCAAGTTCCCTGCACCAAATACTCGCACTGCTTCGAACCCACCTTCGAAATCAGCCCGCGACGAGAAATGGGCTCCTTCGATTGTGCGGCCAACTCCTGGTCGGGTGATTACTAGTGCAGAGGCGGGAGGGCGTACACAACAGCGTGTTGTTGAGACTGCGGATCCCGCACCTCCAGCTCCATCCGATTCCGCTTCGACTGAGCCACGATCCCGCACGATGGGCCCGGCCAAAGAAACAACGGCCAAGGGCAAATCCCGAACTGGCTCAAACGTGACAGGCCTCATCGATGAAGCTGATGACACGAGGCAACCGACGAAGGGCAAAGGAAGAGGGAAAGCCGAGAAAGGAAAAGGAAAGCAGGAGAAAGGCCGAGGGAAGGGTGATAAGGGAAACAAAGGAAGGGGCGGTTCCGGACGAGGAAACAAGGACCGCACCCGTAGCCCCATGACTCGTAGGTAACGACCGTCAACCTGCGTGGCGATGCATTGTGTCACTGCAAGGTGAATCCGGTTGAGTCTTTCTGACCCATGCTCCACACGTCATTCGGGTCAGGCGGATTCTGATGGTGAAACCCGGCCACAGGGGTACAATGGCTAGCCATGGTATTTTCCTCGTGTGTCCCTCTCTTTTCACGGACACTCGATGCTGCCGAGTTCTCACTCTGAGCGCATTGAGTCTAATATGTAAAACCCGCATAGATCCGATGGAACATCCGATTGCCACCGATCACTTGGCAACTCGCTATGCGCCTGACGATCACAAAAGGCTGCGTTTGTACAGAAGTGAAACATAGGTATGATCCAGATGCAGAGACCGACCCACATCTAATGGTTCTTAATTGCTTCAAGCTTAGCTGACCGGAAGAGGTGTGGCTCGGTGCACAATCAGTGGATGTGACTCTCCTAAACTCCGCTCTCCTCACGCGTGAGCTCGCGTCGAGGGGGGTGTGATTTGTCACTGACATGCGTATATAGTATATGTGCTTCTGCCTTCTGGTTAGGAATCAGACCAACTTTGTCTCATTACGCAGCTTGACTGCTCAAGACCGACCCTGCGTCAGGTCCAGCAAAAGGTCCGCTAGCGCCTGGGGGTTCTAGTGTTGCCTTTCCGCTGAGCGTCAAACTTACGGCTTTAATCTCTGATTGTCCTGCTTTGCACCGCTTGCTTTGCTTTGATCTGCGATCGGCTGCCTTGGGCTTTGTGACCGAGAGTTGAGTGGAATCCTCCGCTTTTCACAAAACATTATCCTGAATGTCTTTGTGAAGGGGTCGTTCATTTTTCATAACCAAGCTGAAGGGGGGACCTCATCAAAGACAATGGGCGTGCAGTAGTACGTACTTTTGAAAAGGGATCAGTAGGAATTCAAGCTCGGATGGTCTTCAAAACAAAAAAGCACCGTAATGTCTGAGTGTATATACATGGGAGGGCGGGAGCTTGTGCAGTATTGCCCCCCTTCACCAATGGACATGGAAAAAATGTTATATCGATAGGTACCGAATGGGACATGCCCGCACACGAAATTAAATGCGTCGGGAGACCACCCGCAATAGTCCTACATACCAGGTAATAGCATGCATACTTGAGTTCAAGGAGTGATTTGATTAGGGGGTCTATGAGCAAAATGACACGATATAGAGACATTCATCGTTGATAAAACCAGGAGTCGGAAGATACCATCGTCCCGTTATTGTTGTTAGGCTGATAGGGTGCAAGTTATGTGTCACATAGAAAAGCCATGCAGACGTGTGACATGCGTATGGTAATGTACTTTATATGATAGGTATGCAACTCCACATTCAAGTTCGAAGTTAAGATGCCAAGCTGGTCCCCAACAGTAATGTTAACAAGAACTACAAAGATGGTTGACCCAGATTGTGGCATTGATTTGCATAAGAGTTACATACGTGTTGACGTGCGAGTCCAAAAACACTGCAATTTTCATTTAGATAATTGAATGAAATACGGTTGTCACACATGCAAAAACATGGTTTTTATCTATCATGTGCGGCGGTATGCTGAGACCACATCTTCTGGACTCAGTGCGGGGATACTTCAAACTCGTGTGGCACGGGTACATATGTTCCTTGATTATCATTTGTTTGCTATCAACATAGTTGTATCGACTCATACCTTCGAACGATTAATGCAGAATGTTTGCAAGGAAAACGATCTAGTGTATGGAATAAGGGAAATCAATTCAATACGAATTGATCTGGAATTGAATGCGGCGCATTCAAAAGTGTTACACCACCCTTCGTTGTCAAGTGTGTTTTTGCTGTATAACATCCGAAGATGCTGTAAATATGGGGGCTCCAGGGCGTTCCACGCTCTAATATTAATTCGACATACTGATGCTGGCAATCGTAGCAGTTGGAGAACTAAAGGTATGGACAGAAATCAGTCGAATAACGATGGTGATGATGACGTTGATGATGAATGAATGAATGAATGAGTTAATGAGTGAATGAGTGAATGAGTGAATGAGTGAATGAGTGAATGAGTGAATGAGTGAATGAGTGAATGAGTGAATGAGTGAATGACTGAATGACTGAATGACTGAATGACTGAATGACTGACTGAATGAATGAATGAATGAATGAAACATTGTCAACTACAAGTACCAGGTCTACACATCACACATAGGGTCCCAAACCCCGTTTGTTTGCCCCGTTTGTTTGCTATTGCGGGGTTGGTGGGTTTATTTGGGCAACCTGTGGTTCCGATAAAGTTTTGGGATGTTTTGGGAACTTGACACTCATTTTCGGACTTTGCATGTGCCAACCATTACTTAATCTTTTCGTTCAGGGTTTTGACGCAAAGTCACCCTTTAGTGGTCAAACACACAGTTTTCCACCCCCCATCGTCTCTTGATGGGGGATAAGGTTTTGGCAACCAGTCCAGCATCTTCTAGCCTCTTAGCGGGTAGGGGGTTTTGGCAACGAGTGATTTCCTGTGAGTTTCTCTCCTATTGACGAGATTGACCAAAGCGCAGTCTTGAAATCCGAGTCCTGGGTGTTTTTAGCTGTGACCCCGCCTGGTCTGCACAGCGGATGGTGCAGCTGCTACCACGTCACGTGTCCGCCACGAATTTCTGTCTTCGGCATGCTAGCTCCGAACCTAGCATCTCCGCACAAGACGTCTGCAGTAGTAGTAGTAGTAGTAGTAGTAGCAGCAGTAGCAGTAGCAGCAGGAGCAGCAGGAGTAGCAGCAGTAGCAGCAGTAGCAGCAGTAGCAGCAGTAGCAGCAGTAGCAGCAGTAGCAGTAGCAGTAGCAGTAGCAGTAGCAGTAGCAGTAGCAAGTAGCAGTAGCAGTAGCAGTAGCAGCAGTAGCAGCAGTAGCCGCAGCAGCAGCAGCCGTAGCAGTAGCAGTAGCCGTAGCCGCCGTAGCCGTAGCCGTAGCCGTAGCCGTAGCAGTAGCAGTCGCAGTCGCAGTCGCAGTCGCAGTCGCAGTCGCAGTCGCAGTCGCAGTTGCAGTGGCAGTGGCAGTGGCAGTGGCAGTGGCAGAAGCAGTAGCAGTAGCAGTAGCAGTAGCAGTAGCAGTAGCAGCAGCAGTAGCAGCAGGCAGTAGCAGCAGCAGTAGCAGTAGCAGTAGCAGTAGCAGTAGCAGTAGCAGTAGCAGTAGCAGTAGCAGGAGCAGGAGCAGGAGCAGGAGCAGGAGCAGGAGCAGGAGCAGTAGCAGCAGCAGCAGCAGCAGCAGCAGCAGTAGCAGTAGCAGTAGCAGTAGCAGTAGCCGTAGCCGTAGCCGTAGCCGTAGCCGTAGCCGTAGCCGTAGCCGTAGCAGTCGCAGTCGCAGTCGCAGTCGCAGTCCCAGTCGCAGTCGCAGTCGCAGTGGCAGTGGCAGTGGCAGTGGCAGAAGCAGCAGCAGTAGCAGTAGCAGTAGCAGTAGCAGTAGCAGTAGCAGCAGCAGTAGTAGCAGCAGTAGTAGCAGCAGTAGTAGCAGCAGTAGTAGCAGCAGTAGCAGCAGTAGCAGCTGTAGCAGCTGTAGCGGCAGCAGCAGCATTAGCAGCAGTATAGCAGCAGCGGTAGCAGCAGCCGTAGCAGCAGCGGCAGCAGCAGCGGCAGCATCAGCGGCAGCAGCAGCGGCAGCAGCAGCGGCAGCAGCAGCGGCAGCAGCAGCGGCAGCAGCAGCGGCAGCAGCAGCGCCAGCAGCAGCGCCAGCGCCAGCGCCAGCGCCAGCGCCAGTGCCAGTGGCAGCGCCAGCGCCAGCACCAGCACCAGTGCCAGTGCCAGTGGCAGTCGGCAGTGGCAATGGCGCAGCCGCAGCCGCAGCCCCCCCCAGCAAGCAACTGCAGCAGGAGCAGTTGTAGCAGGAGGCCGAGGGGGAGCAGGACGAGCAGTCGTATACGTGTACTCGTAGTGGTAAGCAGTGGGATAGTAGTGGACCGCAGCAAGAAGCTTCTGTAAAGTAGTACGTGGTAAGGAGTAAGTAAAAAGCTGTAGGGGAAGTACTGCGAGTGGACGACGTCGATGGCGATGTAGACGACGATCACGGTGCTGGATTCACAGGCAACTCCGATCCGAGTACTTCCGTGCAATGTTCCGGGGCGGATGGGCTGAAAGTGTGGAGCCCAACTTGGGATGTGAGGGTTCAGGATAAAGAGGATTCGCTTGGAATTGATTGTGGGGTTTCTGCAGCTCTAGAGTTCAAGGCTGCGAGGGATTGAGGGCCTGGAGCACAGAGCTTGCCATGTATAAGGTTTGGAATGGGCACAGCGACATTATGACAAACACACGAGCCGGGTCAGTGGGAAGGGGAGAGTATCAGGTGAGCGAATTAGAGGAACTGCAGCACAGCATATCTTACTGATGGAAACCCAACCTCACTCTTGCGCCTCTATCGCCCCCAATCAACTGATGTTGCTGCTTGAGTCCACCCTGTCCTGCGTCGACCTTGCCACTCAAGACTGTTCGAGTTGACAGAGACTTCGTTGGACAGTGGAGAAGGGGCCGGGAATGGAAGAACCTAAGTTTGAATGCCCACATCTCACCGCCTGCAACCTTGGCTTCTTGTGGTGTGAGGCGTTCAGGCAACGGTAGTGCTTAAATTCTGTTTTTGGGGAGATTAGCTGATAACCCTCATTGGTTGGCAGAGTAACGCAGTCTTCCAAAGCTGCTGGCCCCAGCTTCGCACGACGACGACCTGGCTGCTCCAGGGTTCTAGAATTCCTTGTTCAAGAAGAGCAATCGATGTGCCAGAGCGCTGAATGAGAAGGATTGCAAACCGGAGACAGGAGACAGACAGTTCGCCTGCCTGTAGCCATGGCTGCCTCGACTATCATCCCAGCAGTGGAGTACGTGCCCGTGGACACTGATCTCCAGAAGCTGCACGAGGTGGGAACGAAACCCGAGTCACTGTCACCATGCCGCTATGCCGCTATTCCGCCATGCCTTCGTTTTGTTGGCTTCGGGGTAGCAGCGGAGCCAGGCTTTCAAGACCTATCGTGATCTCCCAGCAGACATCTATGGGCTGGCCATAGCGGCGGGCCGGCTTGTATTTGCTGTAGCCTTTCCAGATTCAGTGTCCATGAGTCTTGTGTCCGAAGGGCTTGGGATGAGTCATAATTATTATTCAATTTATCTTCCGCCTCTTGCCGCGTTCCTGCTTCCGCAGGAAGCCTGGCATGGGTGGCACTCCCTGAGGTTTTTCGCTGAAAGCAGGTCCTGTCAAGCAAGTCTGAGAACAGAAAGAGAAGGGACACCTCCGTGCTTGAAGCTTGAACCTCGAACTGTAAACTGCGACCTGCCAAGCACAGATTTTTCCCCGAACCTTGGACCCCACCTTGACTTGTTGACGCAGCACTTGAGTCTTTCCGCCGCATCGAGCAAAACACGGGGTGCTTGGGGTGCCCAAATGCAGTCTGCATGTTGCAAGCTGAAGCCTGAAAGAGTCCGGAACTGTCCTTCACGAAACTCTCAACTTCTGGAACCTACGCAGCCGCCAGTATTCGATCTGTATTCCCTTCCAGGTCAGTGTCGTCGACCTTCCGGAAGTGATCACCTGCAGAGCGACGAAGGCGTGACGGAAAGAGAGTAACTTTCTGTTCGTTTCCCAAGCTTTGAGGGATCTTGGTCGGCATTCATAGTTACGACATGGCACCGCAGACACACTGCACCTTAACCCTCAGTCAGCTGTAACGATCTGGGGACCTGACTCCTGCCTTACAGCCAGAATCTCGATGACATCATGATGAACTTCCATAGGCTCAGACAGCGGGTGTCCTTTTCGGATTCACCGCCCTGAGCGTGAACCTGCGGCTTGCATCAAGTCCATGAGGCCCAGGACTGACAAGAGGCTGAGGCTGGGGATTTAAGTGCCGAAGCCGGCTTGCGGTTGAATTCAGTGATTTCTTCAGGCCTATGGGGCTCTTGACTGCCTGAGGGTTCTGGCTCCAGACCGAGAGCTGCATTGTCTGCAGGAGTTTTAGCTTTGTGTTTTGTGTGAGGGCTCAGGATAGAGTCTGGTTTCCGTCTCCGCGGTTCAAGCCTTGAGGGCTGGGTACGATTTCCATGTTCTCCATCGTCAAGATATAATCCTTGCACTCTCACATGTAAGCCAGCCGTCGGAGCTTTCAGCTCGACAGCGGCACAGACACTTCCGTCCTGAGCAGAAGCCATCAATCGGACCAAGGCTGGCAAGCTTTGGCATCGGAAGGGTTGCTTGGGGGATCTTGGTGCTTGGCTCCGGGTTTGAGAATGACACCAGGCTCATCTAGTGGATTATTTCTTACGCCCGCAACGTGTCGACAAGCTGTTCAAGCCCGAAGCCTAAAGAAACGCCTGCATCCCGAAGGAAAGACCTGAAGAACCGAATCTGTAGTGGTTTCGGAGTATGAACGCCAGATCCTTCTTCCAGCTTGAGCTTGAAACCCGAAAGATCCCAGGTGGCTGCAAGGACTAATCCTGTACTATGTCGCTCTGTTCGCAAAGCATGTTAGGGAATCAGGGGTTCAGGGTTCAAGAGGGTGAGTTCAGGGTTGCAGGGCGCCTGAAGATTGTGGGTTTGAAAGTTCGGATTTTGAGGAGTTTGGGACTTGAGATTTCTCAGCCTGAAGCGCTAAAGCCGCAATCCGAGATCCGTAGGCACTGAACTCCAGCGATGCCGGTCTGACGATCAAGCTGCTTCTGTCGACCAAGATAGTGCTCACCTGCAGTCTTTCAACCTGCAGTCTGAAGGTGACTCATGTTGTCTGTCTGCCTCTGCATATTGCTCTGGAAAGAGGCGTTGCATATCGCAGCCTTTGTGACTTCAGCCGGTGTAGCAGTATCCTAGCAATATTAGCTTTGGAGGCTTCATTGCTGATAGATTTGCTGGGACAATGGAGTCGGGGCGCGCCGTTTTCCCGCCGGGGAAGCAGGAGAAGTTCGAAGGCCTAGGATATTCCCCGGCGGTGACTTGCGGCCCGTTCTTGTTCGTAGCTGGCCAGGTGGGCGTGGGGGATAGTGGCGTCGTTGAAGACCCGGAGGAGCAGTTTCGGCTAGCTTTTGAGAAGCTCTTTGCGCTTTGCCGGGAGGCGGGCTTCTCAGTGCCGGGAGATTTGGTTGAGGTGAAGACCTTCCATGTGGAAATGGAGAAGCACGAGGCAGCCTTCTTCAAGGTGAAAAAGGAGTTCTTCCCGGCTCCGCCCTATCCGGCCTTTACCGGCCTGATCGAGGTTCAGAAGCTGGGCATGAGCGGCCTTCTCCTCGAAGTCGCAGGCACGGCCTATCGAGCGACATGCTGAGCCCTTCAGGGTGACGACATGCTGCGAAAAAGCCTTTTGCCTTGCCGCTAGGAGCGTTACTGGTCGTGTCTTCGTTCGGGTTGTTCGTTCTCTCAGGAATAGTTATGGTTTTTGACTGTTGTGGTGCCTGCTGTGGGTGCGTTTTGGCCGGTTGCGTGTTGTGGGTTGGTGCAGTGATGCGTTATGGTCGCGTGTTCTGCTAGAGTCTAGAAGCTAAGAAGTTTCTGGTGGCCTCAAGCCGCCGTAGACAGCGGATGCACGAAGCTCTACCAAGCCTGGAACCCACAGTCCTAATCGAGGTGAACCACTACATTGTGCATCTTGCTTCAACTCAAGAAGAAGATGCAAGTGCGGGTGGAAGTTACATGGCTTCCCGCACAGAGTTTTCTGAACGCCAAGAGCATGTGTGCATTTTTTGCATGTTTTTCAGTCCTGCCGAAGTCGACTTCCCAGAAAAAGGTCGAGCATCTCTTAGAAGCCATCCCAAAACAATGAGAAGCGCTGTGCCTTGAATCCCTAGGCAAGGTGCAGTTCACGAAGCGCAGGCAGCTGGGGATCACTGCTCGTAAGCTTGGCCTGTCAGAAGAGTTGAGATGATAGGTTAAGCTCTCCTATGCTCTCCTTCTGTGTCGTCTTCTGTCTTTGGCTGCAGCATGCCCCCACGCCCCGGCTGTCTGCAGAAGAGGCCATTTAGGTCCAAGGAAGAGGTGCCGCAAGAAGGGCCAGCCGAATCCGTAGCAGGTAGCACGCAACTGAAAAATGCTGGTTTTCTGTCAGGAAAACTACGCCGAATTCCACAGAAAGGTTTTCGATGAGGTTACTTGGATCAAAACACTAACTTCCGAAATTAAAGGACCCCGAAGGCCTCAGCCTGGAACTGCAAGAATTGAACATCCAATTGTGAAGGTGTACTTTCGGTGGAATTCTCTTCAGTGATTCAGGATTTCCTCCAGCTGAGGATGGCAATTTCTTGCATGATGTGTGGCAAACCTATGACACGGACAAGTACGCGGCCCTTTGCAATATGGCCGCTGCCTTAGCGCGCTGGCACGCGGAGGCCCCAGGCCTGAGACCTCTGAACTCAAGTTTCAGTTTGCTTGACAGAACTCTTCTGCATACCGTCAGCCATTTCAAACCCAGCAGTCCCACAAAGCCACTTCTTTAGGATTATCTCCGCTTGGATTAAAACCTCATCGGGTCTTCGTCACTGAGGCAGTCAGCAAGCTGTACTTCTCCGCCTCTGGGCTTTGCTTGCGGGAGGGCTTTCGGTGATTAGGATGCCTGCGTCCATGAACCTGCTATAGGCCGTTCGCCTTAGCACATTCAAGTTGATGTCTGTCTGATGGTTTCGGGCCCCAGCATGGTCAGTCTGACGAGGGCTGGGAATGAAGGCTTGGAGCTTGCAGGGCGGCTAGGACCAGGACGCCAATCTTCAGCTCTCCGAGCGCCACGCGCCCGAAAGCCCGGGAGGGGCTCAGCCCAAGATGAGCTCTCAAAACTTACAGGCCTGAAATCTCAACCAGTGCTGCCATTCAAAACCTGATGCCTCAACAACTGCATCAACCCGAAATTGTTGGTTTCCATTTTCGACGTTTACTCTGAATGTAAGTGGTGTTTCTCTTGCCCTGCTTGAGCACCCTGTTCCTGTAATCGTCAGGCAAAAAGGCGAAGCTGCGAACTCCTCCATTCACACTTTGCCCGAAATCTGCTCTCTCAACCCCCAGTTTTCATGAATCTCGGGAGTCTGAGTTTGACCTATCTCTAGCCCGACGCAGCTCAGTGTGGCATCGTCTTCCTATGGACCGCACGGATGCTCGCCGAGGCCCGACGCTGGTTTCTAGGTGAAATGAAACTTGGGAGTTCACAGTTCAGTGGCTGCGGACACCGGGATACACCGGGCATTGGTGTGTTTTGAGTTGAAGGTATTTCTATCTTTCAATATTGGGATGGCTGGGATGGGATTCGATGGCGAAGCTTTAGATGTTCACTTGTTAGGAGCGTCAAAGAGTCTATGTTGGACGCGAAATGTTGGAAGCCGAAACACATTTTGCATGCAAAAACAAAGCTGAACATTTGCATTCACAAGGGCTTCAGGCTCTAAACTGAAGGCCTTAAGGGCATGAGGCTGCAAACTGAAACCCTTACAGGCAGTAGTCTTTTGGGTCTTCATGCTTTAAGCTTTCAGCATCTTTCAGCTGAAGCTCTAAATCTGGTCGAGACGTTTAGCTTTAGGGTGTTGAGGCGGTATTCTGACGGCATTAAGCCGCAGAGAGGCGTAGGTATTTTTCGGTTTCTGCTATTGTGGGAGTTTCCAAGATTCCGGCGGGGGCCAAAGGTGCAATTCTTGCTCTGTAGCGTGATTTGTCGTCGTGGAGGTTTCCAAGAACTCCGCATCTACTGCAGGGGCTGAAGGACTAAGGACTCACACGTTTGGGGGGTTGCTTGATTTTGCGAGCCCAGCAGTTGAATCGACACGGTGCCAGGTGAAGCAGTCGCTCCACCTGATGCACGATCTTTATTGCATTCCTCAGCTGCCACTGTCCGCGACGGCAAAGCAGATGGTGTATCAGGCCGTGGATGAAGGCTTAGGCAGCTGATGGATTCGGACGGCATGATGGGTTCCGAGGGTGTGGTGGCAACGACTGCTTGCGCGAACTTGGACTGGGGTTGAATTTTCGACTTCAATCAAGGGTTTGGGGGTTCACGGGCTGCGCCGTGTCTTGAAGATGCTCTGAAGAACGGGGAAACAGTGTGCAAGGACCTTGGAGAAGCCCGATAAGGGGTTAGCCACTCTTAATACAGGCCAGTTATCCAATTGCTACCTTTGACCGCTCTTTGCCGACCTGTGGCCAGATGTGCAGCAGATGCACCTTTGGCACTTCAGCACTCGCCAGCAAATTCCAGGACCTCTGTGCCTGCCCATTTTCGCTGCAAGGTTACACTCATCAGTTGCCTCCAAGAAGCTAGCTCCGTCCCAACTCACAACAGCCCGAACTTCGGTTTTTGCAGATCCCTCTGGTCGTTTTGTCAGGTCAGAGATGGTGACGAGATCGAGCGCCCCCTTGACGCACGATTTCCTGCACAGTTCTTTTGAAGGAGCGTCCCTTTGTTGTGAAGGCTATCTTCCGACATCCTAGTCCTGGTCCTAGATTCCTTGAAGGGTTTGAGGGCTTGAGGTTTAAGCTTGGGCAGTCCCATTCTCGAACGAGTTTAGATTCCAGATCGACCGGTACCCTGTGTGTTGGTGGTACAAGCTCGTGGTCTTGGCTTCCAGAAACCAATCCTGCGCTCTGTGGCGAACCGTTGGACCATGTTCCGACTCGACGCTGCTTTGAGTGTCATCTGTGCCTGCAACGTTATCCGCGAATTTCCGGCCGTTCGTTATGGTGAAGGGAGGTCGGTCGTGTCCATGATTCTCTTGTGATGTCATGCTCGGCCAAGAGATTTCGAGTCGAACATACTGATGCCAGCAAGAATTTCTAATTCCTCGTTCGTAGACCATTCGTTCTTGCTTGCTTGTGCCTTTTCCTGTCTTCCCAGATGTTGCTTTCGAGATGTCATCCTGTGAGCTTCGAAGTCAGGCTTCGAGATATTGGCTCTGAACAGAATGGTGCGGATTATGCTGACCGTCCTGATCGCTTTGCCAAAGCTTCTCGGATAGCTCCAAGTGCTCACCAAGTTGCCTGCACTTCGATTGAGGGCGCGGAGATTGGCGGCAACCGCGCGGCAGACGGTCAGACAGTCGGACAGTCAGGATTACTCGTATGACTGTCTGCCCGTGCGCCTGCTTTGCTGTCTGTCTGAATGTCTGACTGTGTGAGTGTCTTGGGGCCGGGGTTCGGTCTGGCTGTTCCAGGGCTGGGGCTGTGTCCGTTTGACTGTCTGCCCGTCTGCCGGTCTGAATGTTTATCTGGCGGTCTGGTATGACCGTCTGACTGTCTGTTTTCGGTTGCGCCCCATTTGCATGCTCTCGTTTCAGCCTGTGTCTCCAGTCCATGATAGTCACAAGAATCACAAGAGCTCCGTTGTCAAATCCAAGGATTGGAGTGGCTTTCATTCTCATGCTCAGCGGCTGCCGCTGGCTGGCCGCCACCCAGTCCTTTGGAGTCTCCTGTCAATTCCTGAGCGGTTTCTGGGTTCGGGCTTTAAGGTGTTGCATGCGTCATAAAGTTGGAGTTTACAGAGGTTGGGGGTTGCTATTTGCCACTGTGGTGGTGGTCCGGCTGAGGCGTTGAGGTGTTGCGCTGCGGACGGAGGGATTTCGATTTCTCCTGTCGCGGCTCAAGAAGGTTGCCCAAACTGCAACCTCCGGCCTCGTCAAGCCCAAATACAGTTCATAGTGCTTGATGAACTTTGCTGTTTCTGCGATTCAGAATCCTGGACATAAGAGCTCACAAATCCAGGGAAGTGCTGCGCCGAGGATCTCATCCTGAACGCACTGGCTCTGGAATTTGTCGCTCGTCAGCATATGTCGCAGAAGTTCGGGCACATGATTTATGGTGGAAGCCTTCAGGAGTCGTAACGTTCCGTGCAGTTTCCGCGCGAAGCGAATCTTGACGATATCTTTGCTTGTATGGCGCTGTGCTGCACATGCTGCCCGCTCCAAGTCTTGACTCCAGATGTCCCGCAGCAAGGCAGCCACGCAGGCGGTGTATGTCACTCCACTCCACTCCACTACATCCTACCCCACCCCCAGTCCACTCCACACCACACCAAGCTCTAACACAGGACAGTCTACAGATTCGCCGTGCTGTCTTTAGCGGTGGAGTCGCATTGTGTTTTCAGCACATGCTCGAGCCCACACTGGGAAAGGGAGTAACACTTCCTAATCAAAGTGGCGGATCTTGTCAGCTTGTGCTAGACTCCTAGGGTCCTAGAGGTCCTAGACCTGAAGGAAAAGCAGCAAACACGACCGTGGACCGTGGAGCCATGGCTCAGGTGATCGGCATTGACGAACTCATGTTCGAGGCATTCACGCCCGAGCAGACTCGCTGCCAAGCAGAGATAAAGCCTCCCTTGCCGATGACAGGTCTCATATGCTGGTGGTGTTTGGCTTTGCGGGTGCCGACGCAATGGATCTCACTTTGACGTTAAACGTCGTTTTTGACATGTGCGAGCCATCAGCAACAACCGTTAGAGGGGTGTGCAAGGTCGCTGCAGCGTAATGTCCTCCAAACTTACACGAAATTTCGGAAGTAATGTCCCTTTACATCCTTTTTAGCCGCGACTCAGCTCGCACCAGACAGTGCGTTTGCTGCGATTGAGGAAAGCAGCAAACTAACATCTCGATGAACCGATCGTAGCTAGCTACATCCTGCCTCTCTTGGTCTGCAGCAAGGTAGCTTCATCGAGCAGACGAAGATTGCATACCCAAGGGAGGCAAGATGGCAAACACAACAGCTGTGCTGATTTGTTTGGCTTGGAAACCAAAGGTTTTGGACACCACGAGCTGCAAGTTTTACTTCAGCTGTTTGAGATAATCCTGCCCCCCACTTCGCTCGGAAATCCTGCTGCTTGCAGCGGCTCGGCCTCTACATTGTTACTGTCCAGCTAGCACTATCTTGCGCGTTGTTTTCAAGTCCTCCCATGAATCGGTCGGGCTCGTTCCTGTCGCCAGGGCGAAGGGGGCATCCAGAACCTTGGCCTGAATTTTGGTGTTGTGGTAAGCTGAAAAATCGAGGTTGAGCATCAGTCTCCGGGTCCCGGCTTGAGACGGGGATCTTCCTCCGACTGCAAGCAGTCGGAAGCGCGGTCGGAATCCTCGCATGAGAGCCTTTACACCCCAGTCAGCAATTCGCCTTCAGGCTTCGGCGTTGATAGGATCGGGTTCTGCCGTGCGAGTGGTGTCGGGTGTGATCGCCTTAGTCTCAACGAGCCCGCGAGCTCCCGTGGTTGTGCTAAGGAACGAATCCAGTATGTCGCTTCTCCTGACCCTCGCCGAGGGATCCAGGGGGTTGGGAATGCGATGGATTGAACTTTGGTGTTTCTGCCAGCGGCAGGGTTTGAATTTCAGATTGTTTGGATTTTCTTGGATGCGTTCGGCTGTCACCCTTCTTGCAGAAGCAGCAGCATGCAAATCTAGATCAACCCACCTTGAGATACCTCCAGGAACACGCTGGGGATCATCCTGAACCTTGCGTGGTCGTACATGTACTTGAACGACTGGCAGCAGGCCAGCTCGCTTGCATCTCGCATGTTGTCAGCATGAGAACTCATATAGCAATTGCAGCTATCAGGCGTTTGCTCCTTTGAACAAACCGTGTTGCTTTTGATGAGTGGGAATGTAGTTTGCGCTGATAAAGCATGTCGACAGGTTTTGCATCCACCAGGATTTCGGAGCAAACTCGAGCAGGTTTTGGACATGTGTTGGCTCGGCATGGATTCACCGGCCGTGGGGCGGCTAACTCTTCCTTCGACTCGACTTCCGTGCTACGTCGTCGAATAGTATGCAGTAAGTCTCAAACAGGGAAGATTCGAACTCCAAAAGCAAGCAAGATTCCCTCGTTTGATTTGGCAGGTCCTGCCGAATTTCTCTCACGACATTCGAGCCCACTGTCAAAGCAGGCAGCGACTGCTCTGGGAGACTAGCGGCTGGGTCAGGGAACGGCACGGGCTAGACCAATGCCCAGGTTTGCCGAGATGTACACGCTAAAGTGCCCCTTCATGGGAGATCCGGATGAGTGCTTTCCGTTCGGCGAGTGACACCTGGCTTCCGGCAAGTCTGGTTTACCACTTCTTGGAAGCATGTGTGCGAGCTTGCTGTGCACTTTTGCCCACATGACTCTCACAACTTGGGGGACATCTTAGCACTAGCTCTGTTCAGATCTCGCAGACCCAAGCTTTTGGCTAGCTGGATTTTTGCTCAAGGGTCTTCCTGTCTCAGACTCGGTCCGATGGCACTTTTGACCAGTCGGCAGCCCGCCAGAGTCACAGCACAGATCGGTTTGCTTGTTTCAACGGACGCAGCTACATGCTGGAGTCACCCTTGCCAGAGCTTGAGAGCGAGTACCGTAGCCAAAGCAGGTATCGCACATCCTTCACTTCAAGGTGGAAACACTGTGCTTGCAGTCCATGCTGGCGGAAGCCTTCAGCGCTCTTGCATGTCAGAAGCATTTCTATGTTGCTTGAGCGCACGCTGGAAGTTGGCTATTTCGACTTGGAGGGCGCTGATGCAGGCGTTGTAGCATGGTATTGACGGAGGTTCTGGTTCGGCTACGCTCTTAGGTTTCAAAGCCTCGAACTGTTCCAATGTGGCAGGCTGTGAGCTGCTTCCCGAAAGTGTTGCATCGCGGCCCCGGGTGCTCGATGTGAGGATGGTCCTCCCAGTAACTTCAGGCGCCGATCCTCATGAGCGACTCGACGCCCTTGCAGAGTCTTGCGTTGCATAGTGTCGCAGGCACAACAGGCAAAGCACTAGGTTCCGCTGTTTCATTGGGTCAAGCTTGACAAGGGTTGTCGTCACTAGGTGGGCTCTTCTAGTCGAGGGCAAGCGCAAGTGATTCTGACGGCCGACCCGGTCCGGCCGTGTTCAGGGACGTCCGCAGCACTTCAACTAGAGCTTCGCTGCTTGCCAAAGGTCTGAAGATTTGAATTCGCGTGTTATGTGGCAGGGACTACGCACGCTGACATTGCACGGAGGCATACCGGCTTTGAAGCTGACTTTCCATCACAATTCGTTGACGGCACAAAAGAGGTCAACACCTGCAGAGCGACACTTTTTGCCGACCCTTCGTTTGTGCAGGGTTTTGCGGCCCAAGGCTGTCTCGAAAGCATCTGCTTGGACCCTAGAGTTGGCCAAAACGACAACTGCTGCAATTTTCGTCCTGGAGCACACTAGCAAGCCTGCGTAAGGAAACCATCATTCCTCCGTGGTTGAGTTTGCCGAAATGTCAGCGATGGTATTCTGTCCGAGACGGGTCTGCTTTGTTTGCCGAACAGCTTTCATTTAAATTGTATTTTGTTCAAGACGGATGTATTGAGTTTGCCGAAACGTCAGCTATGGTATTTTGTCCAAGCCGGATGTGTTGAGTTTGTCGAAATGTCAGTGATGGTTCAACTTCAGTTTAAAACACTCTTCATGTAAATGTATTTAGCACTTCTGTCCAAGCCTGATGTAACATTGCCGAAGTGTCAGTCAGCGATGGTGCATTCGCGCGCACGCATCACAACCGAAGCTGGGTTGTTCCATGGTCAGTTCATTCGCAGAGTAAACAGCACAGCTACATTGTTCTCAATTTCGCAGAAGAAGCCGCCAGAAGAGGTATCCTGTAAGTAATCCTGCCAGGGTGCCCGGGGCCAGGCACATGTTCCACTTGAGAGGGAGCTGTTCAACCTTTTCCGGCGAACTTGGTCATGTCATGTCTCATGTCTTGCTTAGCTTGCTCGGCTTGCTTGGCTTGTTCGATTCGCCATACCCATCCCGCACGCCCCAGCTCAGTGGTCTGACAGACGGGAGGACCAACTTTACGACATTGGCGGAATGGGGGTGTATACGTCTCCAGTGAGCTGGGCTGGAAGCGCGTTCGTCTTTGCAAAGACGCCGGGGAGGCCTTTACATCAGTGAGTATTGGTTGGTTGATTGATTGATTGATGCGAAAATGAGCATGGCATTGCTTGGTTGATTGATTCTGTGAGAACACTGGAATAGGTTGTCAATTTTATTTGTGACTCAGCAGATATTGTAAGATTGGCTGTCAACTCATAATAATCGAAGGGACAATTAACTAACAACTGTGGTGGCATCAAACAATTGCGCCATTGACAATACCAATACAAGACAGTTTCCAACGTGCATCTTCACAAGTCAAGAGTTCAAGACTGGACAGAAGCTGGCATTGAGGCACGCGCAAACCAGCAACACCTGCAAACCACTCACTGTCATTGCTCAAACTCAAACCAGGCAAGCCACACACACACACACTCATTGACATGATTGCTTTCTGAGCATTCCCCCAAGAACACCAGGCAAAATGCAAATTTCATGCCGGCTCTGCCTCCCCCGGCTCTGTCAAAGGTTTGCCAACTTGCACAGGATGTTCACAAAGTTGATTTGAGGCAGTCCGATTAACAATTTGACGACTCTTGCCTCATGTCGCGCGCGCTCACCCTTGAAAGATACAGTTGTGTCGGGGCGTTCACCCCTGAAAACACAGTTGCGCCGGCGCGCTCTCCGTCGAAAAATACAGTCGTCGGCGCGCCTCACCCTTGAAACATACAGTTGTGTCGGCGCGCTCACCCTTGAAAAAATTAGTTGCGTCGACGCGTTCACCCTTGGAAGATACAGTTGCGTCGGCGCGCTCACCCTTGAAAGATACAGTTGCGTCAGCGTGCTCGTCGGCGCGATCGAAAATGCATTTGAGATGCAAGGAAGTTGCCATGTTCACGCAATATTCCTGGCCTCATCCGTGGAAGCTCCATACATCTGCGAAAAAATCTTGTTTGAGCGATTCAATTCTTGAGTCAAACACAGAAGCAAAAACAATTTCGTAACATTCGACTCCTCATTTGTGAGAACCCAATGCATTTTTTGAGACCATTCACGGCGACTTCCTTGCATCTCAAACGCATTTTCGTGAGCATTGGGCTCGTCACTTGTGACAACCCAAATGTATTTCTCCAGCCCCGAATAACATTCCAAATGCATTTTCGTGAGCACTGGGCTCGTCATTTGTAACAACCCGAATGTATTTCTCCAACCCCGCATGGCATTTCAAATGCATTTTTTGAGACCAAGCCATGCTTGGCTGACCATGTGACTTGAAATGGGAACTGTTGGTTGCTGTGTGAGCATGACAATGCATGTGCTGACCATTTGGCTCGGAACCTTGTGAATTGCGCATGAACTCATTTTTTAGAAAGATGCTTGCCGAAAAGCAACAAAATATGATTCGTTTGGGTTGCATCACTTCATGTTCTCCATTGTGCCCACAAGTTTAGTTCACATGTGCTGTCATGACAATTTTGTCCAATTGAGCACTCTTGTAACTTGTAATTTTCGCAACCCTGGTTGCCTCGGGGAAAAAAGGGGTTGCATTTTTGGTGTTATTGGTTTGATTGTTTTTTTGCTTGTTTTTGGGCGTGGCGGTTTGTGGAGTTATCGTCGCTTTCAACGAACTTTTGATTCAACACATTCTCACACCGGTGCTCAAACCCACCAATCTTGAGCATCGCTTTCTGTTTTTTGGTGTGAGTATGCTGTTTTGCTGTGGCGAAAACTCTTGTGCTTCCGGGAATTCAGATTGGCCTGCGTGTGCGGAGTGTTGATCAATTAGTTCCATTCGACCCGTTACATACGGACCAAAGCGTCTGGCGTCTTAGCACTTGTGCAAGTTCTCATGTCTCAAGCCGCTGTGCGCAATGATGGTGATTGCTGGGATTTTTCGCCCTCATCCGGCCAATCAAGTGGGCCAAGTGGGATAAGTTTGAGTAAGAGCCTGTGCGTTGTCATGGACCAGCGGGCTGCTTGTGAGTCTGGAGCTCAGTTTGGGGATGTTTGGGGGTTCAGGGGACTCAGGGGTTTGGGTGTGGGGTTTTGTTTTTGTTTGGTTCTTGGGGCTTCTGTCGTCTGCCGTCTGCTCATCACTAGGACACTAGGAGTGCAGGTAGGTTTGTGTGCGCAGGCTTCGGGTTTGGTTCGGGTTTTTTCGGTTGGAAGGCGGTTGGGGCTCCAAGGTTGCCAGGTCTGCTTTGCGCCTCCCTTCCCTTCCCCACTTTTGCCTGCCCTTCCACGCCCATGTCCGAATCTCCCCGACTCCTCGCGCAGCGGCGGCCTGGATTCACAGAGTGCAGTGCAGGAGGTTTACCTAGGGGTGCAGGTAGGAGTTGGCAGGAGTTTGTAGGAGTCAGGGTTGCTGCTGAAGGGTTTCGGGGTTTCTGGGGGTTAATTAGTTGTTCCTAGAGGTTGGGGGATGTTGGGGGTACCCCCGGCCCGCTTCGCCCAGGGGCACCTCTTCGCCGCCCTCCCTCGCATGCTTCAGGGTTTTTTCGGTCTTGGAAGGCGGCTTGGGGCTCAGAGGCAGCCAGGTCTGGAGTGCAGGCGCCCAGGGTTTTCTGCCGAAGGGTTTAGGGGTTTGGGGTTTTAGGTCCCAAACCCCTTCGGGCACCCTAGGCTGCCCTGCGTCCGGGGATTCTCCGGCCCTCCTGGGTCCAGGTCCTTTGCGGCTCGCTGGACCGTCGTCGGCCTGGTGACTTGCTGAATTCACATGCTTCTGTGGTCTGTGGCCACTTTGGTCAGTATATGCGTAGCAGAGCAGCAGTCGCAGCTCAGTAGCAGACAACTACAGCTTACAGCGACGAATGAGAGATTTATAGGATTCAAGATGACAAACCGGTTATTATAATTACAAAACACCATCGTCGTGAGAAGTTGGACTTCTGAAACTTGTTTCATTCATCATTGATCACGGCTCGGGGCCTTTCGGTGCTCTTCTTCCTGGCACTGGTGACACTTCCTGTGTTGCTTTGGGCTGCACCCAAGCGTGGCGACCGTGAGGATGGTGACGATGCCGGTGCCGAGAATGGGAGCTGGGCCCTGACGACAGTGGGTACCAGCCGAAACGGCAGCATTGCTGTCGAGGTTGCTGTGCAGACGTCTGCGGGTTCATTGGAGAGCGATACAATGGCGATGCTACCGGAAGATGTGCAAGCTCCGATGCAGCAAATGTTTAAGCAGCTCCAAAGTTTTGTGGCGGTGTGCAGTCGTG